GGGGAGGATGAGAAGCTGAAAGACATGCACAAAGGGTAACCTTCAAGTTTGGCATAGGAGATGCCACGCTTCAGGTGGTATCGTCTCTTTTTGATGGAAGAGACCACAAAATCCAAAGATACTTTTATAGTTTAAAGATTTATTCATTTTCAGGATCCCATAGGAACTCCAGTTCTTACCCAGGTTGCTCCACTTCCCACCCAGCTCCCTGCTTGTGGCCTGGGAAATAGCAGATGATGGCTTAAGTGTTTGGGCCGTCATGGGAGACTCACAGAAGCTCCTGGCTCTTGGCTTCAGATCGGCTCGGTCCCACTGTTGCAGCCATTTAATGAGTGGACCAAGGGTAGGAGAGCTTTCCCTCTTTCTTTATTTCTATAAATCTACCTTTCCAATAAAAAGAAATCTTAATAAAAGCTTGATTTAAGGCAAAAAAGATTTATTAATTTTTATTTGAAAGGCAGATTTAAAGAGAGAGAGAGAGATCTTCCATCTGCTGATAACTACTAGAACTGAACTATCCAAAGCCAGGAACCAGGAGTCTCCTCTAGGTCTCCTGCGTGGCTGCAGAGGCCCAAGGACTTGGGCTTTTCCCCACTGCTTTCCTAGGCCCCAGGCAGGGAGGTAGATCAGAAGTGGGACATCTGGAACTCAAATCAGAGTCCACATCATGAGACACTGGCGCCACAGGCAAAGGATTAGCATGCTAAGCCACTATGCTGGCCCTCATAAGGAGACTTTATAAAAATATTATTAAAATTATTATTATTATTGGAACATCAGATATGCAGAGAGGAGAAGAGACAGAGAGGAAGATCTTCCATCCAATGATTCATTTCCCAAGTGATTGCAATGGCCAGAGCTTAGCTAATTTGAAACCAGGAACCTAGAGTCTCTTCCAATTCTTCCCTGTGGGTGCAGTGACCCAAGACTTTTGATTGTCCTTGACTGCTTTCCCAGGCCTCAAGCAGGGAGTGGATGGGAAGCGAAACAGTTGGACCTCTAACCGGCGCCTGTATGGGATGCCAGCACTGTTGGTGGAGGATTCGTGTGCTGAGTCACAGTGCAGGAGCCTATTGGCTTATTTTGATGCATAAAATTTTTGAAATTTCTGCTTTTTTATTTGCATTTTTTCACCAAGTGTCTTCGGCCCCGTTTTACTTATAAGTACTTATTGTCAGGCGGCTTCATTAACTGGATAAGTTTGTCTACTTTGTGTAAATTGATCAAAAAAAGTATTAAACCTTTGCCAGGAATTCCAGCCACAATGGAAATCAGGCTGCCTGGCCCAAAGTCCCTGGCCGTGTCCTGGTGCCACCACAACTTGCTGCAGTCCACAGTCACGGGTACTTCTCTGTCTCTTCATCCTGTTCCTGGCAAATGAAAAGCTCTGTGCAGCCTTTCTAGACTTTGCCATTCATGCCTTTTGCACATACAGTAATTGTCTCCAATTTTCCAATAAAAGTCAGAGTATAAAAACCAAATGGAAAGAGAAAAAAGTTAAAGGGTTTTCAAGTGAGGAAGAGAAACCAAAGACATACGTGATTATATTTAAAGCTAGTGACTTATGTTCACTGAGTCGGAGTTTCCCAAAGCATCTGTCATCTTCTGGACGGATAGGAGAAAAATATAATTAGAAAATTGGAATAATATGAAGTCTGTGGGAAAATGCAGAGTAAAAATAGAAATAGAATAAAATAGAAATTAAGGAATGTAGAAAAGCCAAGTTGGGAAAATGAAGGCAAATAACTGGAAAGAATAACTGGGAAATTCTCAGCATACTGGAAGACTTATACAGACAGTATTTATTTTAAAGATTTATTTATTTTTCTTAGAAAGGTAGATTTACAGAGTCAGGAGAGACAGAGAGGAAGATCTTCCATCTGCTGGTTCACTCCCCAAATGGAGAGTGAGCTGAGCTGAGCTGCAATGAAAGCCAGGAGCCGGGAGCTTCTTAGGGGTCTCCCACATGGGTGCAGGGTCCCAAGGCTTTGGGCCGTCCTCGACTGCTTTCCCAGGCCACAGGCAGGGAGCTGGATGGGAAGTGGAGCAGCAAGAGTATGAACGGTGCCTGTTTGGACTGTCAGCAGTTGCAGGTGGGGGATTAGCCAGTTGAGCCCTTGCACTAGCCCCTAAATAGTCTTCATTTAAAACCAAATGCTTTGGAATAAGCTTATTTTTAAAGAGATTATTAGAATCTTTTGTTCTTAACTGAATACCCAACATTAATATCTAGAATAAAACACTTTCAGTATATCTGAGGAAAGCCACAGGGAGGTTACAAAAATCATACATTTCATATTTTTAGTTCACTAACTATAAAAGACTTGTCCTCCTGTTTAAGTTGATGTATAATTAAAGTATCTAAGGATAAAGAATTTGTCCCAAGACCTAAATTAAAATGTAGGAGGCAAATGCTTAAAAAAAAAAAAAAAGCAACCTACGAGTTTCTGGAAGCATTGTCTATTCTCCTAATAAATCACACACATACACACACACACAAGTGTGTGTGGCACCGAAATAGATGCTGTGAAGGTTGTAGAGACAGATTTCTTCCCTTAAGTTATGTACAAGCGTTTGACCAAGGTAAGGAGAATGGCTGAAATGCTTCCTGAATTGTGATTCTCTTTGACTTTGTATGCTTCATCCTTTCTTTAGTTAGGCAGGCTACTCACATGAGCCAAAGAGGTCACAGGTGACCCTAGGCCACGTCTGCAGCAACTAACCACGGGTCTGCTCATTTGGCATCCCATGATTTCAGGCTGTTCTGCCAGATCATCCCTGGAATCATTAGTGATTGCTGTCTAATTGGGTCCCCTCTAAGCTTTCAGAATGTGTTAATGCTCAAGGTTAAGTACATTTGAAACCTCATCAAGGCATTGCAGAGTAGATGCTATTCTTTCTTTTATAGGTGGTTACACTGAGGTTGAGCATGTGGAAAGACTCTCACACTCCTGAAGCTGTGAGTGCTTCAAGTCTAATTCCAGCACCTGCTTTTGTTGTTACTCTACAGGACCACAGTTTCTTACCTAAATTCTGAACTCTTAAAAAGCTCTATACATTTAATTTCCTTATATGTTTCGTGCCGAAACACACCCATGGCAAAACCTGAATCAAACTGACTTGGGAAGATAGTCTTTATCCTGCTTCGTGTCTTATGTGTTTGACTGCAGCTAGGTTGACTCTAATATTCTGTTGTGTCGTGAAGAAATGTGGACCTGCCCACCAACTCTGGCTGCTCAGTCTTTGTTCTCTATCCTCTGCTGAGCAATTGTTGTGCTGTTATTGCCTGTGGACTTGACAGTTTAAGCTTGTCAGCTTTCACTGCATCAAAAATAAATCAGTTAATTTTTTAAAATCATAAGCTTCTATTGATAGTGTTAGGTCCCATTCAACTCCTTAGGTTCTTTGCACTTCTTCACTGTAGGAAAACCATTTATTTGTGGCTCTTGTTAAAAGTCATAAGGAAGTCTGTATTAAAGGAGGGGAGTTTTGCAGTAGGGCAGAGAGATGGAATTTGACCTTGAATGCAACAAGTTTGAGTAGGGGTTAATAGCCAAGGAGCAGGGGTCATTAATGGGTAAAAAATTGGCAAAAGGAAAGATCAAGGTTAGGGGACTTCTTCCTGGGCCAACTCCGCCAGATTCTTGCTAAAGGCAGGCTAGCGTGATAAGATAGCAATGGCTTGGGAAGTTTCTTTTATTTAACTTTTAACATGATGGAAAGAATACAAAAATTATATTTGCTGCAGAATATTTTGCTGCCTTCATCACATTTGGAAGAATAAGGAGAGTTTGGAGGAGAAAGTTGGTGAGCTCTGCTTCCCTGTCTTGGCCCTGGCCCAGGGAGTGTCAAGCTTCAGGGATGCCGGGCCAGTGCCGGGGAGGTGGGATGGCCACATATCACGGAGCCACGGAGCACAGGGCTGGTGTCTACAGAACCCTTGCTCCGTAGCCGACTCTGTGCAGCTACTATGCTTAGTCTTTACAGAAGCTAGAGTTCATCAAAATTGTACAAATAAATGCAGCTGAGGTTCAGAGACCTATAGAAACTTTCCAAATGTTTACTGTCCTAAAATGAAAGAGCTAGGCAGGAGAGTAGCTTTCTCCCACAGCTCGTGTCCTTCCTACCAAACCCTTTGTCCCCCGGGTGTCATCAACTGGACAGCTAGGCTTGCTGTTGCAGACAAGACTCTTGTCAGAATTGCCAGGGCCCCATGCAGCTGCAGCAGGAGAAAGGGTGTAGGTTTCCCCTTGCAAGCGATTGGGCACCATTTTCCTCCTTGTTTCCTCTGTTGGTAATTTCTGTGTATGGTCAGCTTAGAACAATCTCCAAAGCACTTCCTGGCTGCCCTCCTTCTAGTCACCACTAGGCCTTCCCCTCTGTGCCAGGTTGTGGTGGATTAGCTCTCTTTACTGCGTCGGGGGCTGGCTCTGCTGGCACAGACGATGGTCCCGGGTCTGTGTCAGAGCCCCTTCTGGGAATTCCAGTGCTCCCAGAATCCTTTGACTACTTCCCAGAGTGGCTGAGCTAGGGTCACTGGAGAAACACATTGGAAAAAGCTTAGGAAACAGTTGACGTACAGTAGGTAAATATTTGGGAAATGGATGAATCTGTAACCTGCAAGCCCCCACGGACAGGAGCAGATTATGTGTTGCACTGCTTTTAATTTGGTAGTTTTCCCATAGTGTTTATCTGAACACAAATTCACATTATAGCCCAGGTCCGTTTTCTGTTACCTCTGGTAACACTGGAAACATATTTGTGTTAAAAACAGAACAAAAAAAGTTGTGTTCAAGGTTGTTTCTTGCAAAAGTATTCTTTTTCTATTGCACTTAATTTATTAAAACTTGACATTTCAAAGGGGGAAAAAAAATTAACAGGTGACTCCTGGATTACTGGATTTCTTTTCCCAATCAGTAATGGCTGTTCTGGCATGAGAGCAGTTAATTTCTGCATCTGTTGAACTGTGAAGTCATGAAACATTTCTTGTCTCTTAATAGGGAGAGATAATGCATGTGAGAAAACTTCCTATATGTTTCTACGGAAGGAGCTTCCTGTGCGGCTGGCTAACACCATGAGAGAAGTTAATCTTCTGCCGGATAACTTGCTGAACCGCCCTTCAGTGGGCCTCGTTCAGAGTTGGTAAGTCAATAATGTGGCTTCCCACAGCGCTGGGAACATTTGGCATGGAACCATTCTACATCAAAGTGCACACACTGCCCATCTGAGAATGAGTCATTCAGCATCGCTGGGCTTTCCATGCAGTTAATAATGGAGTTAAAAAAAATTGTTTCATTTAAAATTGTTTTAATGAAAATGCTGCCAAATTGTACTATGCACTTTCTTGACTTCTCAGACCCTATTTTTCCAGTTATGTATGTGTTTGTTCGTCGAAAGAAAATTTGAAAGTAGAAAACAGTGCCAAAGAATAGCCCATGTAAGTGGGCCTGTGGTGCTTCAGATAGGAGAATGTCTGCCACTTTGCTCATCTCGGGCTTGCTTCTTTAAGTTTTCAAGAAGTTCCTTGAAAACAATACTTCTCCTGGAACCAGTGAACTCTTTTAGAGAGGAACCTTAGATTGGAAAAATGTCAGCTTCCTGCTGGGTTTCACCCACCCTGTGAAAAGCATGAAGAAAATCCTAACAGAATATAACTTAAATCATTCACAACTCTGATACTTAAAGAAGTTACTTAATTGAGGAAGTTGAATTCATGCAGCCCCTTCCTAGTAGGAGGCAACAGGAGGTGGTCTGTTTTTCGAAAGAGATTTGCATATATTTGAGACACATGTGCAGATGTAGTCGTGGTTACACAAGCAAGGTAGGAGTCACTGCCCAGAGGACCTGAGGCGTGTGGGAGGCCAGAGACCTTGTACTCTGTCAGGCCAACGCAGTGCTGAGGGAGCACGGGGTGGTGCTGGGGAACAGCTGCCCATGCCTTTGCTCTGCCCCTTGATGGCTGAGTGCAGTTGACAGGTGCAGGTCAAGGGAGAATGCTTTAGAAGAAGGGAACAATATGGACAAATGAAAGGAGAATGCAACTATTAATTAGTTTGCATTTAGAGGGTTTCTGGAGGCCAGGCAACTGAAAGAGAAATGGACATTCTACAGTCATTTCTCAATCATGTTAATGATAATAAGTGCTTAGGTCTAAAAACGAACCAGGAGAGAAGCACCATATGGGGTTGTGGGTGGTCCATTGTCCAATCCCTTTCCCGGACAAGCAGCGCTTCCTCACTGGCTGCTGATCGCAAGTCCTGTGAATGGGCTTTCCATGAGGTACAACGGAGAGGTGAGGGAGGGAGACCCTGACCATGGCTTTGATCCCGCAGTCAGTTGCATTCTGCTGTGGATTCATACCTTGTTTAGGAGCAGCAGCAAGTATGTTTGCACAAGATTTTGTTACTTCAAGGTCAAATCAGCAGTTTTCTAGCAGCAAGTGTAAAGGCACTATAGGGAAACGCTGATGGCGATTCTAGGCAGGCCAGGCAGATGCCCTGATCCTAGTATTGGTGACAGCTCTTTAGGTGTTTTCAAAGTGAATTGCTGGCACTCTGACATTTTCTGACACTAACAGTCCAGTCGCCAATTCTTTAGACACTGGTGGTATTCACCTTTTTAATTCAGTCCTGACAATGAGTTAGAGTAGACCTTACAGCCTAACGGCTCAGTCCCTGGAGAATGCTTCCACTTCAGGTAGCTATCATGAGTCCTGGGTCACATGTGCTTTGAAAATGAATCGGCTATAAATTGAAGTTCCTTGACCTTTCGTGTATTTGATCATGTATGCTAGAATGGCCCACGTGATGTCTAGAAGAGAATTGGTTCATGTTATAGATTTATTATGAATGATACAACCCAGGAACATGTAAGTGGAGGCAATGCATAGGGCAAAGTTTGCAGGGCAGTGTGTGAGGCTTGCCAGTACTTATCCATCTCGAGATTCTCCTTGTCCAGGAGTGTTTACAGTGCTCACCTCCACGCCCTTTCCCAGGGAATAGGAGCCATGCTGGAAGCATCTCCCCTGTAGTGGTCTTTGCGATGCATGGTCCCATGCTGAGGCTCCTGGGTGCTTCTGCTCTAAGTCATGTCATTCTGGTAAGCTCAGTTGTGGCAGAGGGGTGCCTTGGGCAGGACCAGGGCTGCTCCGATCCCTCAGGAGATGCACAGAGTTTTAGAAGCTCTGTGCTAGGCAGCAGGGACAGATACCAGGTGTGTTCTGTGTTCCACACACTGGCAAGGAGGTGTAGCCTCTTACCACTCAGACGCCAAGCCTTTGTATCTCCTCACTGTTCCTCTTCCATAGCCATCGAAACGAATGTGCCATATTTTCCTTTATGTTTCTCAAGCATTTCTGTTTTGAAATAATTTCCTACTTAACAGAAGGATTACAAGACTAGAAGTAAGAATTCCCGTGGCCTTTCACCCAGGTTTCACTAATCATTAACATTGGGCCACATTTTATTCTTTCATTGTCATTCATAGTCATCCTCTCCCTCCCTCCCTCCCTCCTTCCCTCTCTCCCTCCCTCCCTCCCTCCCTCCCTCCCTCCTTCCCTCTCTCCTTTCCTCTCTCCTTCCCTTTCCTCCCGTCCTTCCCTCCCTCCCTCCCTCTCTTCTTCCCTCCCTCCCTCCTTCCCTCCCTCTCCTCCTGTCCTTCTCCCTCTCTTCTTTTGTTCTTCCTCTCTTATGTACGTGACTCTATGGGGCACATACATATCTATAGTATATACATGCGTACACAGACATACACTCATGCGTAATATTTTTTTCGTGAATCATTTGAGTTAGGGTCAATGTTTCCGTTTTTCCCTAAATAGCTTAGCATGTATCACATTTAAACAACTGTTAGAAAACTAGTGAACATTATATTCAGGGGTATGACATTACTACAGTAGTATTTCTTATTATGTGGCATTTGTTATTATTTCATTAATTGTCCTATTAGTAATCTCCCTTTCATATAAATCAGTTTTCCCTGCTGATTTAGGAATCCCATTGAGCATCATACATTCTGTTTCGCTGTCATTTCCTTTAAGAAACTGACGGGCTGTGAACCCCACCCCTCAGTCACAAAGTGTGCTTTTTATTTCCCTGACTTCCAGGCTGGGCACGTAGCATTATCTTTGACCCATCTTCCTTCTTGACTGCTCTGAACATGATTGTTTTAAAAGAGCAGGCTTGCCTAGGTTTGCTTTCATGGGACGTCACTGGGGCTGACCCACCACTCAGGATATTTTAAATTGATGATTTTAATGAAATCTGGCCCATCACTTTATGTACCACTAGATGAACATGCTTTAGCGTCAGATGCATTGTCTCAAAGTTCACGTGAGGTCTGTTAAGCAAATGTCATTCCAGTCTGTGTATCTGTATGTGAAATCCTCACTTCAGTTAGCAGAGTATCTGCATCCTCTATCCAAAGATAGAAAATAGGATTAATGATAACTGAATGTTAAAAGGAATACCTAGTTAAAAGGCTAACTCTTTCAGGACATGTGACGTGCCAGCGAGAGGTCCCATGCATCCGACTGGAAGTCGTGCGTCCCCAGCAGAAGCAGACAGGCCGAGCTTGGAGCTAGCTGCTCCTTGCAGGCGCCTCGCTGAATCCCATTGCTCTCTGTTCCCCGGATTTTCCTGTCGGACACAGTATTTGCTACTCTGCTGCTGCCTGAGAAGCGTAACTCCATTTTGTTTGTGGGTAGCACATAACATGACTGGACATTGGCTCATGGAACTAGAAAATCCAGTCTTAGCGTGCTAGATTGATTCAGAGATTGATGAGATAGTTGAGGTCCTGTTTTTGATGGTGTCAGCTTCGTTTTCAGGCTGTTTTCCCTCATGGTGGCAGAATGCATGTAGTAGTTTTAAACTTCACCTTTACTCAGCACACTCCAAAAAGAGCAAACTGGATCCGGTGCAGTAGCCTAGCAGCTAAAGTCCTCACCTTCAACTTGCTGAGATCCTGTGTGTGTGCCAGTTCTAATTCGGGCAGCCCCACTTCCCATCCAGCTCCCCGCTTGTGGCTTGGGAAAGTAGTCAAGGACAGCCCAAAGCTTTGCGAACCTGTACCTGCATGGGAGACCCGGAAGAGGCTCTGGGCTTCTGGCTTCAGATCAGTTAAGCTCTGGCCATTGCGGCCGCTTGGGGAGTAAATCAGTGGAAGGAAGGTCTTCCTCTCTGTCTCTCCTCCTTTCTGTATATCTGCCTTTCCAATAAAAATAGAAAAATCTTAAAAAAAAAAAAAGCAGAACAAACTGACTTCTCTCCCCAAGACCCCCAGCAACTCTGCTCTTATTTTCCTGATCTGAATTGAGGCAGAATCCTGTATTCAGGGGAATGCCCTCCTCCCCGTCATAGGCTGGGACCTGGACTATTGGTTTAATTAACAATTACTATTAGAAGAAATGGGGTAATGTGGAGAAAAATGGGGCCACCCATGGGTTTTGGAGACGTCAGCTTCCCAGGAAGCCCTTGAGCTATTTGTGGCAGTGGATGAAGAGCCAAGGGCAAGTGGAGAGTGCTTTCAGGAAAAGAAAAGAAGAATGGATGCTGGGCAGGCAACTGACATAGTAACTCTTCTTTTGTAGGTATATGCAGAGTTTTCTTGAACTTTTGGAGTATGAAAATAAGAGCCCTGAGGATCCGCAGGTCTTGGATAAGTAAGTATGGTACCGATTCCCTGAAAGTAAAAGGACTGGGTAAAAAAAATGTTTTGGTAGATGGGAACTCATATCATTAAGACCCAAGAAGTGTAATTCTGATGAAAGCATTCATTTCCTAGTGGGTAATAACATAAAATTGCATCTTCAGAAGTTTTAAGTTAAGAATTTAACATAGAGCAAAAGGAGTAATGGCACTTCAGATTATACTTCAGGGCCTAATTTTTAATACATTTAGTCCAGGTGATCTGGGCACTCACTATAAATATTGAAGGAAATGTTCCATCTAGTGGTAGCTTTAAGAATGCAATGTCCTTTGTAGATACCTGAATTATTTACCCGATTCTTCACAGTATTCAAACAAAAATTTCAGAGGGATTTTTATTTGAGCTTAGAAAAATTATAATGGTTTTATTTTTGGAGAAGCATAAAAGAGTGTGCTTTTTATATAACACTCAGTTCTATTGCTGCTATTATGCACACAGACTGCTAAATTCTCATGCTGATGGTAAATGTTTGGTTTTCACTTTTGTTTAGCCAAGAAGCACTAACCCTAGCTGTGAGCGCATTTTTTTTTCCACAAGGGAAATTGTGTACAAATCCAAAATGCCTGGGACCTGAAATGTTTCAGAGTTTGGATTTTTTGGATTTCAGAATAATTGCAGATAATTCAGTATCATGGGGCCTGCCATATCATTTACATGCCATATACACCTTATATGTGCAGCCCAAAGGTCATGTTATAGAATCTTTTTAGTAATTTTGTATAGATCTCATGGTGTGAAAGTTTTCCACTGTGGCATTATGTTTTGAATTTTGGATTAGGGATTATTTGCACTTTAATTTCCTCCTGTTTCATATATGCATACATGAATGGAAGCATGCGGCAGGTTTGTTGTGCTGAAGAATTTGTTTTTATGTATAAACCTAATACATATAAACCTAGTCCACACACTCCTGACATACATTTCCTTAAAAAGAACTGGAGAGGAGCAACGTGCTCAGCCAGCACCTGGGCTGCCCAGATGGTGTACCAGAGTGCCTGGGACGGAGTCCCGCCTTGGTGTGCCGGGCTGCCTCCTGTTGCACTGATGAAGCAATGACTGATGGCCCAGCCGGGAAACCCCATAGAGTTCCTGGCTTCTGCCTGTTGTGCTCACTAGCAGATGGAAGATCAGTCTCTCTCCCATCTTACCATTCAAATAAATAAGTAAATGAATTAAACGAAAAAGAACTAGGAAAAGAACATGTTATACTGTGAAGGAGCTGATTGCATCTGTGGACAAGGGAGCTATTCACAAGCCAGGCGCATCTGGGTTTGTGACTAACCTTGAAACACCAAGGGGCAGACTGACTCCCTCGGTGCTCTCTCTCCTCTGTGTGTCTCCCTCTGGTTACAAATAACAGAAGAGAACATCCCTGGCCTCAATACTATCTTTTCTTCCTGCTTTCCTTGAGTTGTAAATAATGGACCAAAGAATATCAAGGCTTTTTAGTTTTGCTAACACAAGACAAACTATTTAAAAACTGCTAGCTTCACATAAGATAAGGATTAATGAAATCTTTGTATGACACCTGGGTTCTTTCAGGTTATAAAAGGTTGTGTATTCTCTGACAAAATGCGTCATCCTGAAAGTGTGGATGACGGTCACAGTGTAGATTAATAAAATTATTTCTCCGTAAAGCATCATCTTGTTGTCTGTTCAATTAATACTGACATACAAGCAACATTAGGAATTATTTAATTCGAATTCAGATAAGTAAACAAGTCAGAGATATATAAAGTGATTTCCCCAGATTGTGACAGTTCATAGTACAGCTGAACTTATAAGATCTCCTTTTCACTAATTAGTGCACAATTTTTTTTCATGATACAGTTCCATAGGCACAGGGATTCTCCTCTCTATCTCTCCTTCCCCTCCCCCAGTTCTCCCCCATATTATTACAGCAGTATACTCCTTCAGCAACAGTCACAAGTCCAACATTCTGCTGTTTACTGTATCATGACACTGTAGGTATGGACAATAGTAGAGAGTCTAGTATCCTGTTGTTAAGGTATATTTAACAGTTTCACTGGGAGTCCTTTTATTTGGGAGTAGAGTTGCATACTGGAAGATATTTTTACTTCTGGGTATGCTGTTCTCCACTCCATTCTACAGTTCATCTGTGAGACCACACACACACACACATACACACGTTTACCTATATATCTGTTTATCTTGTATAAGGCATAGAGGTTGCCTTATATCAGAGAGAAGATACAGTATTTGTCAATTCTCTTACAATATCCCATACTATCAAAACTGTTGGTTTGAGGCATGAGCAACCAGTTCAGAATAACTAGCCCAAGTTCAGTTGTAAATTAAAATATAAAAGGAAAGAAAGCCCTGAGTTGTATTCTGCATTGTTAAGTGTTATGTCTCCTGGGTCTGTAAAGTGTAGAAAGGACAGCAGTTGGTTTAGAGCCCCTGATACAGTGTTTTTGTTGATACAAGGCACCACTGTCATTGAAGGTGTTAATGTTAAAGCAGTTGAATCCAGGAACTTTGTTTTCTGAAAGTCATTATTTGATGACATTTAGTTGCCATCTTAAAAATTGGGACTGACTTCTTTAACTCCAGATTTTAAGACATGAACTTGTGGAGGATAAAAATATATTGCTGCTAGGTTTGTTCCAGAGTCTTATGTCTATCTCCAGAGCTAGTTATCAGTCAGACACCAATTATGGACCTGAAGTTGCCAACTGCCAACACTGATCGTGTGCTCTATTAGAGTGCTATTTGCCTGCACTCAGCTTCAGGAACATGGTTAGGTCATCCAGCTGAAGAGTTGGGCTTTGAGAAAGCTGGTGCTCTCGGTGAAGGGAGGAAGGAAAGGGGAAGCAGCAGCGCAGTGGCAGCCTTTTCCGTGCAGTGAGAGGGTCTGTGGGGTCGCCAGCATGGGAGCTGATTTAGGAGAAGTGAAAGGAGCTTAGTGGACAAGTATGGTGATCATAATGATAGAGTGGAAGAGTCTGAAGACTGGGGAATGTTTTGAGAATTGAACCTTTGTGGTTAGGTCTCCTTTCAGACAAAACCAAAGACCTCTCAATTATAATGAAGTATTTTACAATAATATTTAATTTATAAGAAAGAATTTTACATAAAGGACAAAATGCTCATTATAAAATTTCTTGTGAATAGTGCTGGCCTAATGTCATAGTTGACTTGCTTATCTTTACTATCATAGGTATTTGTTATAGTGAGAGAGATGAGACTGTGGAACAGTTATGAGACAGTCATTCCAACTTGGCACTGCCTGGAGGCCACTACTGCCAACAGGCCTCTTGTCCCTGCTTGTCCCCTAGGCATACATTGTTCAGATGTATATATATATTTTTTTTTTTACAAAATACCATTGTCTATATTATCAGTCTGTACCATTATTAATAATTTAACAATATCCTTGTTAATAGTCCATCTGTGGATGGATCAACACAGTTTAAGCTCCTGTCACTGAGTTTTAGGCTGGTTTGTAGTTTTCTTTTCTTTTTTTTTTTTTCTTTTTTGGAGTTGTCTTTTTAATGCCAAGTACCATCACTGTGATTCCTTTTTGTAAAAAAAAAACAAAGATTTTCTTTATTTCTTTGTTTATTTGAAAGCCAGAGAGAGAGAAAAAAACATCTTCCATTTACTGGTTCAGTCCCCAAATGGCTGTGATGGTTGGGGCTGAGCCAGGCTGAAGCCAGGAATCTGAAATTCCTTCCAGTCATCCTTGCTTGAATCAGGGGTTCAAGTACTCAGGTTAGTCCAGTTTCATTCCCAGGAACCACTAGCAGGGAGCTGGATGACAACTGAAGCAGCTAGGACTTGAATCACTGCACTGGCCCCTGTAGTTTTCTTTCTGTTAAAAACAGTGCTCCAAAAAATACTTTTAAATGTAAATATTCATCCTGTCCAGTTGTTTTCCTAGGCTTAATTCCTGCAAGTGTGGTTACTTTCGTTACTTTCTTCATGCCGTTAGTGTTGCTAAATTGCTTCTAGAAATACATCAGTTAATCTCCTATCCACTGGCTGAAACTGATCATTCTTTGCCAGTCCAAAAAGCGGGGAACAATGGCATATTGTTTAAATTTCTTTTTTATTGATGAGAGCAAGTCTGTTGGCATTGTGTTTCCTCTATGGTAAATTTTCCACTGATTGCAGATCCTTTGCCTAGTTTTCTTTTAGGGTGCTTTTCATTTGTTAAGAATTGTTAACTCTTAGGGCTGGTGCTGTGGCTTAGTATCCTAATCTTCCATCTGTGGTGCTGGCATCATTTACGGGTTCATGTCCCAGCTGCTCCTCTTCACGTCTAACTCCCTGCTTGTGGCCTGGGAAAGCAGTCGAGAATGGCCCGAAGCCTTGGGACCCTACACCTGTGTGGGAGACCTGGAAGAAGCTCTTGTCTTCTGGCCCCTGAATTTGGATCATCTCAACTCTGGCTATTGTAGCCATTTGGGGAGTGAAACCAGCAGATGAAGTTTGTTCGTTCGTTTGTTCTATCTATCTATCTATTTATCTGTCTATCTATCTGTCTGTCTATCTATCTCTGCTTTTTCTCTTTATAACACTTTCAAGTCAAAACAAATCTTTTTTAAAAAAGAGTCGTGGGCCCGGCGCGGTGGCGCAGTGGTTAAGTCCTCGCCTTGCACGCCCGGGATCCCATATGGGCGCCGGTTCTAATCCCGGCAGCCCCGCTTCCCTTCCAGCTCCCTGCCTGTGGCCTGGGAAAGCAGTCGAGGAGGACGGCCCAAAGCTTTGGGAACCTGCACCCATGTGGGAGACCCAGAAGAGGCTCCTGGCTTCGGACCGGCATAGTATCGGCCCGTTGCGCTCACTTGGGGAGTGAATCATCGGACGGAAGATCTTCCTCTCTGTCTCTCCTCTCTGTATATCCGCCTTTCCAATAAAAAAAATAATAATAAAAATAAATCTTTAAAAAAAGAGTCGTTAACTTTTGCTAATGTATGTTTTACCTTTTTTTTTTTTTTTTTAATTTATGCCTGTCCCTATAGAAATTCTGCGTACTCTTTTTACTTCTTTAAATCATTTGTTTCTGATTTTGGCATCCTGCCTTAGCCTGAAGTTATATATTTTTTCAGCTGATTTCCTTTTACCTCTTCTATGATTTCATCCTTTTACATTTTTAATCTGTTTTTTGGCTTAAGGCCTGAAATTGGGATCTAAATTGTTGGCCTTCTGTCCCTATTAATTTCGTTGTTTCTGTACTGACTTGCAATGTCTTTTTCTCAGTATGCTAAATTTTTATACACACATAGTCACCTTTGGGCCTGGTTCCACACATTTTATTTGATGTTATTGACTAGGTTAGATATCTTTGTTCTTAGTCACCATTCTTAGTATGTTTTTCCATGTGTGTCTTTTATTAAAAAGATTTATTTGAAAGATAAAATGACATGGAGTGGGTGGAGAAGAAACAGAGAAAGAGAGAGAAAGGGAGGGAAGGGGAGAGAGAGAAAGAGAAAGAGATTGAGATATTGAGATCCTCCGTCTGCTGGTTCATTCCACAAAAGCCCGCAATATCCAGGGTTGGACTAGGCCAAAGCCAGGAGCTGGGAACTCCAGCTAGGTCTCTAATGTGGGTGACAGGGACTCAAGCACTGAGCTATTTGCTGCCTTCCCAGGCACGTTAGTAGGAAGCTGCATCAGAAGCTGTGTCGCTAGCACCTGACTTAGCCCTTGTTGTAGGATGCAGGCATCCCATGTGACAGCCTAACCCAGCTACCTGCAACGCTTGTCCACTTATGTGTCTTTACAGAAATATGCCAGGATACTTGAATTAATTACACAAATTTGTTGTGATTGTCTTTGTTCTGTCTAAATCTTATTTGCTATATTTTACTGCTATGAGAAATTTCTTTGCAGCAGTTTACTCATAAAAATTTTGATACTATTTTTTTATTTATGGAAGTGATGCGATGGCTTTGAAGGTACATTAAATCCTTGAACTTTTTCAGTGGGATTGTCTCCATGTTAGCAAGAGAAATCTTGACCAATTCTACCATTTTTTCCTTTAAAAAACATTTGGGGAGTTGTAAATGTTTATAAATAAACATTTATAATACCTGTTTATATACCCAAAAAGTCAGTGGATGCCTAAGAAGGTAGTTGGACAGCCTTTTTCTGTACAAGAACCTTTTGAGTTTTGGCATCTGTGAAAGAAGTTAAGTTTCAGGCAAAAGCTTGGGTAGTATTTGGATTTCTTCTGAGTATGTCCTGTAGCAAGTGATAAGAATGCCTTTTTATTATTTTTTTTTTAAAAAAACTACTAGCAGATGCCTAGCGCAATAGCTCAGCATCTAAACCCCCACCTTGTATGGGCTGGGATCCCATATAGGCGCCGGTTCATGTCTCAGCTAGTCCACATCCCATCCAACTCCCTGCCTGTGGCCTGGGGGAAGCAGGAGAGGATGGCCCAAAGCCTTGGGACCCTGCACCCATATGGGAGACCCAGAAGAGGCTTCTGGCTCCTGGCTTCAATTGGCTCAGCTTCAGCCACTGTGGCAAGTTGGGGAGTGAACCTGTGGATGGAACGTCTTTCTACATCTCCTCTCTCTATTTAAAAAATCTTAACAAACAAACGAACAACAACAACAACAACAAAAAACACTGCCAGTGGACAACTGGTCTGGGTACAGAGCTGGTAAATCTGCATCTTACATTGACATACAGACTGACCATCCTTGGTTTCCCTCCCTGCCAGCTTTCTGCAAGTTCTGATTAAAGTCAGAAACAGACACAATGACGTGGTTCCTACGATGGCCCAAGGAGTGATTGAATACAAGGAGAAGTTTGGCTTTGATCCCTTCATTAGCAGCAACATCCAGTATTTTTTGGATCGCTTTTATACCAATCGCATCTCTTTCCGCATGCTTATTAACCAGCACAGTAAGTAGGATTTTGTTCATCCAGTTTTGAAAAGGTAACCAGAGCGATTTCTCCTACTATCAGTGTACTCACCTGCTGTTTCACTTCTAGCTCAGTTTTTCTTAGGTGAATGCTGTCTATTACAAGGGGTTCTTTAGTATTGTTGGTTAAAAGGGATCCTCAAAAGCCTTGTGTGGTACTTGTGTTAAAGATAGGGCCACTGCTTTTAAATCCCTGCTGCCTGATTGCTGGAGGCGACAAAGGTTGAGCTTTGATGGCAGCCAGCCACTGGTCTCCAAATGCTTTCATGTGACCCCCAAACGGGGTTTTGTTCTTATCAAGAATGTTTTGTGTTTTCATTTCTAAAATTAAAAACATTGGTGCTGGGATTGTTGGGCGAGCATGAGGGCAAGATGAGCTGTGGCTCCTTGATGTCACCACCATCAGTGCATTCAGAGTAAGCACCACTGTCCATCTCCAATCCCGTGGTGAGAGTTTGAGTCTGCTTTCTAAAGCACTGAGCAGATAGGAACAGAACACCCATGCATGGACAGACACAGAAAATTACCTCCACACAGTGCACCAACACACACAGAATTACCTCCAAACAGACAACGTGTTGGCTCATTTTTAGTCTTGCATTCTTGGGAGGTTTCATAATTCTTTTTGAAAATTAATTGATTTATTTTTTATTATATTTTTGACAATCTTTACATAGTTAATTAGGGTAAAAAGGTTCAAGGGCTACAGGAAAATGGGTAAGACAATTACTTCCATATTGTTTCCTTCATATATCTGAGGTAAAAGGGGATTTTAAGGGAAAAGCTCCACAAGGGCAGGGGGCGGGCGTGGTGGGGGTTATTGTGGGTCGCTCCGACTAGGCTGCAGCCCACACTGGTCTGTGTGAGGGCTGAGTATGTGCTGGGCAACACCAGGCTGGACTGCGGCACCCATTGGTTCCAGTGGAAGACAGGGCTGGAAACAGATTTCATAATTCTTAAGAAAAAGCATCCACATGTCTAAAGCCTAGTTAATCGATTTGCTGAATCTGAAAATGAACAAAACATCTTTATTTTACTAATCAGGTTTATTTAGATGTGAATGATACATAACTATTAAATATGGGGTGATTTTTAAATCTCTACCCTTTAGAAACAAATGTGTGACAGTTCATAGGAAATTTATAAGGAAAAAACATGATTTTTTCCAACTTACTGCTTGCATGACTATTATTTCTTTCTGAGTTAAATATGTATGTATATTTATGGATGTATATTTTTAGACTGCTCAGCCTATACACCTATTTTTCTTCCATTTTAATTAATATAACTTTATTGACTTAATGCCCATATATATAATTTTTTGTAATTTAAAATCTCATGTATTTTACTAAAGTACTCTCCTTTTGTAGAGTGTGCATTATTCTCAATCTTGGCTTTAATTAATAATAAGGACATCCATAACTGTTTTGATTTGCTTTCTTTCCCCCTATGTGGCTTCTTTTGGCTTTTATTCAGAAGCAAAATTCTTCAGGTTTGATTGAATTGTGAGATTACCTGAATGTACTTTACAATACATTTGACCAAGCACTGTTTGTGTATTTGACATTGAAACACAGTCTTCATGATGGAGGCATTTGAAGTGCTGCTAGTGAAGATGCTTTGCAGGCCCTTCCAAATGGTGTGGACTGCTTTCCAAAGTCTAGCTTAAAGTAACTGTCTGAGTAGTGCTGAGAAGGTAGTTAAACTTGGCTAAGGATGAAAGTTAAGTTTCTTCGTCCAAGACCCATTGGATGTAAGAGAATGGGTTGACACTTGGCACTTTTCACTGCAGTAAAACTGCTGACTGACATTTACAGATCTTAAAAAAAAATCCCTCCTCCTCCATTGGCTGACAGGTTGCTCACCCACTACTATTGTGTTATATTGCTCTTAAGTTGCTGTGGATGCTAAACTAATTCTTAAAAATAAGAGATCCTTTGAAACTGATAAAGCCCTGTATTTCCGTGCTGGACCATCGCAGCCTGCTGATTTGATCCCGTGCCTGCCTTTTTTGTGTTCATTTAGCACTTTTGTTTGGTGGTGACATTAATCCTGCTCATCCTAAACACATCGGAAGTATTGATCCCACCTGTAACGTGGCTGATGTGGTAAAAGGTAAGGAGACCAATGTGGATTATCCATTGTACTTGTAGTTCACATAGGATTGGGCTTACTTGAGGCAGTTTGGCTGTGGGTTATATGCTGGGCTGTGGGCTGAGTCATCAGGCCACTGATGTCATCTGGCCCCAAGCCGAGTAGGAAACATTCTTTCTGGGTGGCTCAGGAAAAGATGCATAATTCATAGTGTTCATGATGTGACTGTCTACTTCATTGATTAAGATTTTACTTGCAGTTCTGTCTCAAATGATAAATATTAATGTAAGATTCCAAGTTCTCATTGCTGCCATTATCTGAACATTTCAGAGAATGCAAATCTTTGTTATAAAACAAGGCTGAGTTTAGAGTTTGTAAAATGTGAACAGCTTTCTGTTGTGCACCTCTGGCTTTAGAATCTGTGCAGCATGTGGGCTTCACGGGTTCCTGGAACTCTGAGCCCAACTTTGTGCCTGGAGCCTCAGGGTAGACCGGGCCCCTGCTGGCCTGAGTCCCAGCTAACCTGGTATCTTGAATCTGAAGAGCAGTTTCCTTTGCATCCATAAAGACAAGCTGTGTCCCCAGAAAGCCTGCTTGGCTGAGGGTGCTCCTTTAGGTCCCTGCATCTCTTGATTGTCTTCAGCATTATGGTACCATGGGCAGCCTCAGCTCTTCCGTTTGGGCCACCCATGGCCTGGGTCTCCTAGCAGGCACGTCATGTTCCTCTCAGTACTCCTTGACCCCCTGACCTCCCCAGTCTTTATTGAGGGTGGTTGTTGCTCATCAGGGGCCATAGCTAAGGAAAATCTGGGCGGTTGGTTTATCCTGAGCATCCCTGAACCCAGGGAGGATGTGGATCTTAGTTCAGCCTGTGGTTGCTAAGTTGCCTCAGCCACTGTGCTGTTAGAAAAGGTACTCACAGGTTTTCAGTTGTGCAGTGACTAGGCCCAGCCTTGGCCCCTAAACATCCTGTAGTTGCTCTCTGCTGTGATGGCTCTGTGCTTAACCCCGACCTCTGCACATCTGCACAGGACGAGGGAAAGAGAGCATCCTTGTTAGGAGAGCTTAGGCCTTAGCTCAGGGCTTATGATGCATTCTTATGATAGCATTCTTACAGTTGAGTACTCCTGCAAGAAAAAGACTCAAATTCAGAAGGCAAATCTGTGTTGCAAAATACAGTGCATGTGCCTTTTCAGCTGTCATTAGTTTGTGGTCAGGATGTGTGTCTTAAATTTATTTTCCAACTCACATAAAATGTAGTGCCTGTGGAAATGATCAGTAAATATTCCTTGGTTTAAAAATATTTTTAAGCCTGTTGATAATTTACTTTTTAAAAAACAACTTTTTGAGATGTAATTCTTATATCATAAAGCTCACTCACGGAACGTAGTTGTTTGGTGACTTTTGCTATGTTCACAGAGTTGTACGGCTATCACTATAATCCAATTTTGAAGTATTTTTTGATATTCCAAAGAAAACCTTGAACTCTGGTAGTTACTCCCTGTGTCTTCTTCCCTGCTCTAGGTAACCCCGAATCTACTTTCTGTCCATATAGATTCCCCTGCTCTGAATCTTTCATATAAACAAAATCATGTAATATGTGGTTCTTGGTGACTGCTTTCACTTAACGTAACATTTTCAAGAGTCATTCATATTGAAACATCCATCGTACTTAACATTTTATGACTCAGAAATGCCAATGGTATTGATGTATCACATTCATTGCTTCATTAGCTGATGGGGAGTTAACTGGGTTAACTGGGTGACCTCAGACATACTCTGCGACCTGTTTGAGTCCAAATTTCTTCACCTGTTAATTGGCACTATTGGTAACTCACCTGCGTCACAGGGCTATATGAGTTCTGTTCACTGAGCAAGTGGCACAGTGCTAGCGCGACATGGTTAAGGCTATACAGAGGTTCTCTAGCAATGGTCCTTGGGTGTTGGACAAGTCATTTGGCTTTCTCACTTATGCCTGTTTTTTGTAGCCCGCGAGAACATTGGTTCTTAGATTGGAATTCGTTGGCCATTTCCAGGTTGGTGTGCAGTTGTGAACGCTGACAGTAATCTTGTCTCTAGGCTGTGCCTGGTACTGGTTGCCTCCATCTCCAGCACTGATGGCCATTGTAGGCACCCTTGCTGGGTAAACCCAGCACCTGACAGCAGTAGCCTCCGTCCTGCTGGCTGTGTCACAATCGTTGGATTCCTTTCTATGTTTGATCTGTGAAACTCAGGATTTTCATATCCAAATGGCTTTTCTAGCCACGTGCATATAATCTTTCCTCTTCAGTGAGGGGTTGACCTTAAATTAAAACGATCTCTTTTTTCTCCTTGAAGATTAAAGTAAATTTTGACAGTCAGATTTCTATTTCATCTCCTATGAACACTACTTTTAACTTTGTATGTATCAGAATACCTAAGGAGTAACTCTTTCTAGCTCAAATGAAGACAGAGCAAATAATGCAGAAAGAACCAAAGTTTAAGCATCCTGGCCAGTTTCCCAGATCCTCTGGCTGGAAAGCAGTGGCATCTCTATCCCCGGACACCCCAGGAGCAGGGATCAGCAAGTCTCAAGAGGCCCGGTCCTCGCCAGCTCTTCTCCCGTGTTCCTAAGAGAGGAACAACGTGGTGCCGCTGCCTGCATACTCTTAGTTTATAAAGTAACTGGCGTTTTTGCCCTGAGTTTTTATCTTCTTTCATTACTATCTGAGGTTTCTCAAAGTTAGTGTTTTTTAAGATTTGTTTTTATTTGAAAGATTTTATGGGGCGGGGGGTGGGGGGTGGGGGAGAGGCTTCCATTCAGTGCTTCACTCCCTAAATGGCTGCAGTGACTGGAGTCTTACTGATCTGAAGCCAGGAGCTGGGAGCTTCTTCCTCGTCTTCCACATGGGTGCCAAGGACTTGGGCCATCCTCTAACTGCTTTCCCAGGCCACAAACAGAGTTACATGGGAAGTGGAGCAGCCGGGACATGAAGCAGCACACATATGGGATGCCAGTGCTGTAGGCAGAGACTTAATGTACTGTGCCATGGTGACAGCACCTCAAAGTTAGTCTTTTAACTCAGTGTTTCTCTGTCTGATATTTCCCCTTGCTTTTATTTGAAAGAGGTTGACGTAGAGATAAGGGTTCCAGATTAATTCCCGCCTGCTGGGATGATCCTGCATGGTTGCATGGTATAAGCTCAGTCAGGTGGGCAGCCCAAATGAGCTTGTGTTTCACAGCCTTTCCAAAACGTTGACAGCCAGCCTTAATCCCATGTTTAGATCCCTGTGGCTGGCCACTTGTGTGTAGAACGGTAGGGACAATATTTTTCTTTCTGGCTAGACAGTTGCGTAAATGTGTGGAAGTTGGGGTGTCTCCTGCACAGCACTGATTGAGTGTGCGGAACTTTCAAACTCGCCTCCTTGCTGCTTGTTTAGCACATTAATGTCTACCTTTGCACATCTGCAAATTACAGCCTGCAGGGAGCGAATGCTAGAATTAGTGCTCTAAAGCTGCTCCTGTTATCCTGTGGGCGGTGCCTTACATTGTGACCCCTCTCCCTCCTCTCTTTGTAAGAAGCTGGGAAGTAAAAATGGAGAATCCTGTGGTAAGATCATTTTGAAGGCACAGACTTAAAGGCTTGGCACAGAAGTCGGCTCTCACAGTGATGTGAACTTGCCTGTGTTATTCCTCCATGCTTTTATTGCTTAGCATGGTAGCATACAAATGGTATCCTGAATGTATGGACATTATTCTGGTTCAGAAATAATATTTTGTGCTCTTGCTGTAGGCTCATCAGGTTGCAAGGAATAGACATCCACTCAGGTTAGCTCAGGAAACAGATTTTTAACAATTTTTTTTTTTGTTTAAGAGAGATACAAGATCTTCTATCTGCTGGTTTACTTCCCAAAATAACTGCAGTGGCCAAAGCTGAGCTGATCCAAAGCTGGGAGCCAGGAGCTTCTTTCAGGGGGAAGATTAGTGTGCTGTGCCACCACATTGGCCCCCTAGAAGCAGATTTATTAAAAGAACCCAATAAATCCCCTGATAGTCCAAGGGTAAGAAGCACTTTGCAGGGGAGCTATAGAAACTGGAATTGGGATGATGCTGGAGTTGCGAAGTCATAGCCCACCTTTCTCAGGACCTACCCTGTGTATTCCCTTTTGTCTACACGGCTGAGTATGATGGCTTGTTGAGGGCAGTGTCGGGCATTGCTTGCCTGCCCAGAGCATGCTGACTCTCCATGTGCTCTTTTGGCTCCTGCCTTGCTTGATGATTCAGTGTCTTCACCCTCAATTTCCCAGTATGAATTTAAGTGGCTTAATTCATTTTGATTTTTTTTACCCAACGCCCATGGCTTGTAGGATTCTACTCAGCCTTGAAAGATGGGTTTCCTTACCCGAAATGGTCGGCTCTGACTCCCCCAATCTGCTGTAGTTTGGAGGGTGCTAGAGGAGCTGTTGCTTCAAAATCACCCTGGTGCGTCTGGCTTGGAGTGGGTTTTGGGTGGGAGGGAGGTGACAGTCATGCCATGTTAGAATTGCTTCATCATTTTCAAGAACTTTTGCAAAGCAGCTTCCTTACTCCAGAAGCTACTCTATAAGGTGGTATGAGGGCCTGTTGTAGTGCTTGTGAACTTTCACTGTGGCAGCCAAAGAGCAGAAGGCGACAGTGCAGCTCAGCAGCGTCAGCCTCAGAGCCTCACAGATGAGTGCAGTCCAGTATGGACTTTTGGGGAAAGTACTGTATCATTGATCTGCATGAACATCTGAACCTCCTATATCAGGTGGTGCAGAAGTCACTCATTCAGAAACAAAGTCAAGCAAACGACTGAGTGGGATCATGCTAACAGGAGATAATGTTCCTTTGGCCCCAAAGTGCCTCCGACTAGAAGTGATCAGCGAAGGGAGGTGTTAAGAAGCAATGGTTTGCTTGGGAGTGTCATTCTAAAGCATTCGTTCATATTATTCAGGTTGCTCATATGCTGTTACCAGATGACTAGAATTACTCTGGAATTGTTTTTATTAAAAGATTAAAGCATGACTTTAGTGGTAATTTCATGGTACTCACATTGTACTGTATTTTGGCAATGGCTTCTCCTATTTGAGCTCTGATGTTTTTCTGTATCCTAGGGGAATGTAGGACATTTCTAGGCAACATCATTTGAACTGTTTGAGCACTCATTCAGGATTTCTCCTGGTTCAGCCTCTTGTGAGACAGTTGCTGGGCTAGAGGAGAATATTTGATAGCATACTTCTGCATGTTATTTTGGATGAGAAAAGTCTTCCAGTAGAAAATAATCTCAATTATATGTTAAGTTTTCCTATGTGCTGTTCATTAAAAGTGATTCAAGACTGGGTTGTACCTGTTGCACAAGTTTTTGAAAGCATAGCCCCACTCTTAATGGCTTTGCTTGTTTTTGGTTTTCCGTCTGTTTGTTAGCCACTTGGATGTTCTAGCCAGGGAAACTAGGCCTGTGCCACATCCAGAATCTCGTTAATTACTTTATAATAACACCTCATCACCTTTGAAAACAGATTCCTAAAACAATGGATATCATCGGTGTTCAGTGGCAATAATAATTTCCTAATATTTTCTTATAAAGATTAAGGATAAACACCATTTGAATTTTAAAGTATAAAAGTTCTAATAGAAAGATTTTTGTAAGTAGAACTTGTACTTTGTTCTGGAGGTAAAAAAAACTTTTATGAGCCAGTAACTGAATTTTGGTTGTAATGATAGTGATTTTTGTGAGCTTTATCCTTTTTAAAGAATTTGCTTATTTAGAGGCAGGGCAACTCCCCATTAGCAGGAGCTGCTCCATGCTGAAGCCAGGAGCTTGGAACTCCAACCAGGTCTTTCACATGGGTGGCTGGTGCCAAAGCAGGTGGGTCATCTGCTGCTTTCCCAGGCACATTAGCAGGAAGCTCGATTGGAAACCGGTCACCTGGGCTCTCAAGCCTGCCTTCATATGGTATAGCAGCATCACAAGTGTCAGTATAAAGTGCTGTGCCACAACATTAGTACCAAGCATTTCATTTTATGGCTCTTGGCTTCAGATTGGTTCAGCTTCTGCCATTACGGCCACTTGGGGAGTGAACTAGCAGACAGAAGATTTTGCTTCTCTCTGTAAATTTGCCTTTCCGATAAAAGTAAAATAAATCTTAAAAAAACAAAACAAAAACAAGAATAAAAACTTTAGTTATGAATGCTACACAATCCTGATTTGGGAGCCATTCTAGGCCTCTAGTTTCCAATCTAACCTGAAAGAACACTGCTGTGATTTACTGCATGTTGAGAACTTTATCTGGGCCAGAGGCTTGCCTCATTCAACAAATTACTACTCATGTCCAAAGTATACTTTAATCTGCAGTGGAAATTTATAAAGATGCATATCAGAATATATCTTATCACAAGTGCTTTCACAGTGTTTTTGGCTGACTGGTACATTGTGATGTCCTGAGATTTTCAAGGATCATCATGAAATTCTTCATTATAGCTCTGATTCACAGTAATTTGTTGTGATACTTAAAAAATTCATATTTACTCATGTTTTAGGAGTCATCCATGTCTTTGAACTCTCATTGGCTCTTACTATCTGGTCACCACTGTTGTCTTCACTTGTGTTGCATTTGTCCTCAACAATGCCATTGTAGTCATGCTGCTGCTAAGCAGGCCAGTAATCTGAAATTAGTACATTAAGTGGCTTTAGGATTTGATACAGTGAATGGGAGACAAGTGCTTCAATATCTTTATGATCTGCCTGCAGGAAATGTTTTGTGGCGATGCAGTGGCTCTGTATGTAGGTAATATAGCATTGTTTATAGCGTTCAGTATTTGGAACTTGAGTCCATGGCTGGCTTTGTGCTTTTGCGTCACTAGGTGGAGATGTAGCATTGTTTGGTGGCGTAGCCAAGTAAAAGGAATGCATCTTTTCCCAAAGGGACTTCCCAGATATTTGATGATACTTAGTATACCCAAGAAAAATTGTAAGCTAAGTGTAATCTTAAATTTTAACTTTACCCTTTTCAGGGTTGAGATTCAGTCTTACTTTAATGTTTATTTTCGCAGTGAGGAACACTTAACATCTTTTTCTCCTCTTACTACTGCTTCCTCCTTGTTATTCTTCATTGTTTCATTTCATCAGAGTTATCTTAATATACCCATGTTTAGCTCTTTATAGTATTTTAATTTTAAAAATATAACAAAATAATCGGAATTCCTACTCTGCGGAAATAATATGTGAAATTTTAATCTGGTAAGAGTATGAGATAAATAAGCCAAAACTCATAGTCTAAACAAGACCCTAATCCTGTCTTCGTATTACTTTAATTTAATAATGTCAAATTATAACAGATAAAACTGTAGAACTCTTGTTTCCCTACCCTTCCTTTTTTTTTTTTAAAAGACTTATTTTATTTTTATTGGAAAGGCGGATATACAGAGAGGAGAGACAGAGAGGAAGATCTTCCGTCCGATGATTCACTCCCCAAGTGAGCACAACGGCCGATGCTATGCCGATCCAAAGCCAGGAGCCTCTTCCGGGTCTCCCACATGGGTGCAGGTTCCCAAAGCTTTGGGCCGTCCTCAACTGCTTTCCCAGGCCACAGGCAGGGAGCTGGAAGGGAAGTGGAGCTGCTGGTATTAGAACTGGCGCCCATATGGGATCCTGGGCGTGCAAGGCGAGGACCTTAATCACTGAGCCATCGCCGGGCCCTACCCTTCCTTTCCATTCTGCTTTCTGTCACATCTTGAATCTTAACAAGTACCTGTTCTATGTACAGTATTGCTATGGAGAATATAAAGAAAATATTAATCTGTCCCCAGAGAGCTAATAGCTAATTTGCAAATGTGTCCATGAGTTGTTTTAATGTGATCTGAGTCTTCATTCTTTAGGAAGTGTCAAGGCTATAATATCTTTTTCTAAAAGTTATCATGTTGCATTATGTGACACAGTTTTATAGGCTCTGGGATTCCCCCAAAAGGCTATAATATCTTACACTGTTGAAAACATTATGTTATCTGAATGAAGCTACCCATAGAAGACCTATATTGTATGATTCCATTTACATGAAATGTGCCGAATAGCACACGTGTAGAAGCCAGGTGCATCTGTGGTTGCTGAGGCCTGAGCAGAGAGGGAGTGACTGCTAGGGGGTTTGAACTTCTTTTCAAAGCGATGGAAATGTAAACTTGAGGGTTGTGGTGGATGCACAACTTGGCAAATATACTGAAGACACTGAATTGTGTATACTCTCTAAGTGGATGTATTGTATGGTATGAGAGTTACATCTTAATAAAGTTTTTAAAGAAAAATAATCAAAAAGCTTAAAATTTGTCAAGCCAAGTACTGTTTATGGACCATCACCTACACAGAGTTCTGTGCAAGTTACCATGCAGGTGGAAAGTGCAAATCCCAACCCTGGGATCTGTTTTGATGTATTCTGCTTTGGGACTTTGTTGCTCTTCCTTGGAATCTCCTGAATTCCCTCCTCTACTTCTTTTGGTAATGTACTTGGAATCACTAGATGTTCATTTCATAACCTAACTTTCTAAAAAAAAGAATGAAATGAAGTGAGTTCTACTCTGTGTTGTCTTTTTCCTTTCAAAAGGTGATTGTTACTCCTCCATTGTCGATAAGTATCTGCCCTGATCTGTTACCTTCGACTAACGTAAAGGACATTTTAAAGAAATAGTGGGGTCACTAGTAACTAAAATTGCCTGACTCACAGAAACCACTCATTCAGTAAGTCCTTTAGAAATGATACTGTCAAGCCATAAGAGTACTAGCATTGTTTTAAAACTTAGAACAAGTACTCCTTTGCTGCCTGTTTATCAGATTAATTCCATTTGGAAGCATAGTCTTGAACTCATAGACTTCCGTGCAAAATAGCTTGTAGAAATATTTAAAGGTGGCATATGGCTAGCTATATTTTTGTCATTAGTCTAATGTTTTGTCATGTTTGTGAACATTAAAACTTTAAGAAAATAGGAATTTTGCTTTAGTCATAATGGTGCTATTAAAGCCAGAAGGCTGAGTTTTGAAAGTTCTTAGTTTGTTAATTCTGAATCTAACAATTTACAGTTGAATACATCTCTGAGTGTATGTGAGTATACATACAGATGCAGTTGTGCTGATGTTGTTAGTGCAGCAGCTTAACCTTCTCCTTTCTTTGCAGATGCATATGAGACAGCCAAGATGCTGTGTGAACAGTATTACCTGGTAGCTCCAGAACTGGAAGTTGAAGAATTCAATGGTAAAAGAAAATATTTTAACTGTAAACACAAAGAAGCTAACAAAATCCCTAATTATACCTGAGCTTCATTTCAGTGATATCCTAGATCTATGCGGTCTGTTCATTTTTATATGTTGAGAAAATTTGTCTACACCTTAGGTGAAACAGGTGTATTGTTGTTAGATTTTATATGGAAGTGTCAATGTATTGGATGTCACTGTTCTCAGAACAGAAGTAATCAAGGCAGAAAATGCACAAAGGAGGTTGGGTGTTGAGGTGCAGGGGCGTTGACTTCTGCTTGGAATGTGTGCATCTGTATTACAGTACCAGCGTGAATCTTAGTAACTGTAGTTCTGATCCAGTTCCTTGTTAATGTGCTTGCGAATGAAACAGATGCCAGCCCAAGTACTTGTGTCCCTGTTGCCCATAAGGGAGACCTGGGTAGAGTTCTTGGCTCCTGGCTGCAGCCTGTCCAGCCGTGGCTGTTGTGGGCATTTGGTGAATGAACTAATGGATGCCAGATCACTCAGCCTGTTTCTCTCTCCCTCCCTCGACCAACTCCCCATTACTCTATTTTTAAAATAAATAAACAAATGTTTAAAATTTAGAACAATTCATAAAGATATAAATAGGAAGTTCTCAAAATGATAAATGTAAGCAGTCAATAAATAAATAAAGTATTTTAAGTTTACTAATGAAAAGTGCAAGCAAAACCAAGGAGACATGCCATTATTGTTATTCAAAACAGCAATGATTCAAACATTTTAATACTTGTTCTTAGAAAAATACTCTCATCAACACATACATTTCTTATGCATGTTTAACTTGATAATAGCCTTTCTCTACTTGATCTTAGCCAAAAGGCCGAGAAGTGGTGATAGAGCCTTTTTCAGAAATGCTAACAATGTTCCTTCTCTTTGGCTTAATAAATTAATCACAGTCATACTCTGCCTCCGTGACTCAGACTTTAGAAAATGTATTATAAGGAAATTGACAAGTGCACAGGTTTATATACAGGACGAATATCAATCAGTTTTCTTTCAGAGCAAATCTAGTTAAAAAAGAAAGTTTTTCACAATAGAGAACTTTTAAAATGGATTGTGATATTCCCATAAGATAGAATACTATCCAGCCATTCACAATGATGTTTTAAAAGAATCATGTATGAAAAACATTGAATTTTTGAGGTTTAATTGGCAAGGAACAGACAAAAAAAAAGACACCTTTCATCTGCTAGTTCACTCTTGAAATGGCCACAGTAATTGGAACTGGGCCAGGCCAAAGCTGAGAGCCTGCAGCTCTGCCCAGATCTCCCGTGTCGGTGCAGAGTCCGAGCACTTGGGCCACTTCTGCTGCTTTCCCAGGAGCATCATCAGGGAACTGAATTGAAAGCTTAGCAGCAAGAACTTGAACCAATACCCCGATGAATGTTTCTAAAGCATAAGTTATGAAATTTGTAATGATACAGATATATTGGAAAAATTATAGTTGATGTTTACATTTATTTACCTATTACAGGTTGTAATATGCAGGTTGTAAAAACATAGAGAAATGTGAGTAATAAGTGAAAGCCCCTGCTGTGCTCAGTCCCAAACAGAGCTTTAGTTTTTGTTTTGTTTTCTTTTGTTTCTCATAAACGGGATTAAAATCATTTATATTTTGCAATTTGGGTTTTTTACTGCACCCTGAAGATCTTTGTGTGTAAGCAACATTAATAATGTTGCTGAAGGGTTATCCATAGTGTAAATAATCACAATTTACCCATTTCCCTATGGGATTGTAGATAAGGTTTCTGATTTTCCCATATTCCTTATGGGGTATGTGTGTGTGTATGTATGTGTACGTGGGAGAGAAGTGTGAATGTGTGGAAATATTTCTATAGGTTACATTTCTAAATGTGAAATGATTTTTTCTTTTTGATTGGGAAGTGGGGAGCAGTTTTTTGAAAGTCAGAGACAGAGGTGCGGGCCCAGAGAAATCTTGCATAGGCTGGTTCACTTTCCATGTGCCTGCGACAGCTGGCACTAGACCAGGCTGAAAGCAGGGGCATGAACTCAATCTGGTTTCCCACATATTTGCCAGGGATTCAGCTGGTTGGACTGCCATTGCTTCTTGCCAGGGTGCACGTTAGCAAGAAGCTGGATCAGAAGTACAGATACTATTCAAAAGCAGGGACTCCTATATAATATGCAGGCATCCCAAACTTTGTCTTAACTGTTGTGCCAAATGGCCACCCCCATGACTAAGTCTTAAGTTGTGGGCATTTATATATTCAAGATAAAACCCAAATTTCCTCTTAAAAATTACCAAAAATGTGTTCCTCTTGCAATGAAATGGAAATGTGAAAAGACTAAATGTTGCTGTCAAAGGACAGTTATCCACACATTCTATTAGCAGGTGTGGGTTCCAAGTTCTTTTCAATGTTTCATTGCTTCTCTGAAAAGAGTCGGTCTTTCATTTTGTATAAAAATATACAATCAGAACCCAGTGGACTTGGTTGGAGTATTCCTCTGTAGAATCATCTTAATCTTATGATTTCTTCTACTGGTTACACAGGGCCTGACCTAATCTTCCAGATGTATATTTGCTCAACAACCCTGTTCTTGTCCCAGAGCTGGCTCTGTCAGCACATTGTTTTTCAGTGAGGCAGTCAGGCTAAACAGCTCGCCCACCATGACAGAAGTTTTGCAGCTGTTTTTGGAACTGTCTCAGTGCTACAAGCTCCTTTTATATCACATTAAAAAAAAACCCAATGATTTATTATTTAAAAGGCCAAGCTAAACAGAGATAGGAAGACAGAGAAGGAGAGATCTTGTATGTGCTGCTTCACTCCCCAAATGGCTGCAGTAGCCAGGAACTGACTGAAGCCAGGAACTTCATCTGGGTCTCCCATGTGAGTGGGCAGAGCCTGAATACTTGGACCATCTTCTACTGCTTTCCCCAGACCATTAGCAGAGAGCTGGATCAAAGGGAAGCAACTGGGACTTGAATGAGTGCCCATGTAGGATGCTGGCATTGCAGGTACTTCCTTAACCAACCCATGATGCCAGCCCTTATTGTCATATTTTTAAAATGTTTTAAAAAGATTCATTTATTTTTATCAGAAAGCAGATTTCCTGAGAGAAGGTGACAAAGAACTTCTGTCTGCTGGTTAACTCCCCCAAGTGGCCACATTGGGCAGAGCTGAGTCAATCTGAAGCTAGGAGCCAGGAGCTTCTTTCTGGTCTCCCACGTGGGTGCAGAGTCCCAAGGCTTTGGGCTGTCCTTGACTGGTTTCCCAGGCCACAAGCAGGGAGTTGTTGGCAAGTGGACCAGCTGGCACATGAACTGGCACCCATATGAGATCCTTTACATGCACGCTGGGCACCTTATGTCTTATGTTGAAATGGTCTTTTCCATTGGCAGGATAAGTTTGCTGAAGGTTATAGGTAGCCACTGGATTTCTATTGCTTTGGGTAATGTATTGATGAGTTCTGTTTGTGATTCCTTGAACATCAAAACCCTTTGTTACCATGATGCATGGAGTGCTTTAGTTCTTACTAATTTCTTGTCAGAACAGGAAGCTGATTTTGAACACTTAGGGTTTTTTTTGTTTTGTTTTGTTTTGTTTTTACTGTAGCCTGAGATAGAGTGCAAGTGTTTCACAGTGACAGTTTGCTCCAGGTTAATGTAGGGAGCAGTCAGATCCAGATGCACGTGGATTCAGAGCTCAGCTGATAGAGGCTGATAGTTTGCTGCTCTGTGTGAGCGAGCCCACTGTTAACCCCCAAAAGCAATTTGTTGCTACCTGGAGACCTAGGGTCTGTTCCTTCCACATATTATTTTGTTTTTGAATTCTGGATTTCTTTTTTTTCCTTTCCTTTGCCCTTGAGAGAATAGTGACTGAGATTGTCTGGAAAATAAAGCGGGAATACCATCAAGATTGTCCACTGTTGCTAGAATTCTGACTGTAGGGGGCAGGCTGGCTTAAATTTCCTGCATTGTCCTATCCTTAGCATGTTTGACCATGACTAGCCAGGTGCTATTTGACAAGCCATGTATGGCAGCCTGTGGTCAGTTCCTTCAAAGGCAGCAACAATCCCTGGCTGTTTCTATTCAGTTGTCAAAATAGTAAGTGAGTAAACATTTTCCTTATGCTTTTTCTTTGTGTGGTAGGCTCAGGGTTTGACAGGAAATGTGAGCTTTGTAACTCACCAGGTAGTGGAAATCCAATTCGGACACTTCTATGATGTAGGCTTTGACTGGATCACGTTGCTTCTGCAACACCCAGCTTTCCTCACCTGTAAGCTCACCTTGCTGGGCTGTGGAAGGAGAATGTCTGTAGTGCCTCAAATATGCATGAGACACATACTGAATATTTAGGAAACTGTGGCTGCTGGAAGTCAATGTCGCCACTTGCATTCTTTTTCACCATTTCTGCATCAGTTGTTCCTTTCAAGAAGTCAACTCACAGCTTTGGTGGGAAACAAAAATTTCTGTTTGTGCAGTGTATATTTTGTTATTAAGGGATTCATAGGAAAAGTGTGTGTCTAACCTGGGAATTTGAACTACTGGTTTCCCCATATTTGAAACTTTCATGCATGCTTTGTCCAGTTTTCTTTATAGTAGGACAGCTATTACTGGTAGCTCTGTTAACACTATGGAAGTGAATGTTTAGTAATGCTAGTAATTAAGACTTATTGAGTACTTACTTTGTGGAAGGCTCTGTGTGTCCCAGTTTATCACCATTATTTCACTTAATAGTTCTGTTCAAGCAGTGAGCTACATAGTGTATCTGTTGCAGAAACGGGCACTGAAACCCAACCCTTATTAAAGTAGCTATTTAATGTCAGAATTTGAGCCCATGGTGATTTTGAACCATGCCAGCTGTCTCTCATAGCCTTCCCCATTGACTTTTGGGACAAATGAGCCACCTTAAACTGCACTGCTGAGTTTTCTTTTAAACATATTTTTCTGCTTAGCCTTTGGGGTGGGTTTTTTTTTCCCATTCTTATAAAAGAATTATGTGAGAGTAAAATTCCTTAAGTCTGTCTACAGTACTATTGATATTTATGTTGTTTCAACTCATGGTATTTGGTACAATGACTGTGTAAAACATTTTTATTTTCTGAATCTTGAACATGAAAAAACCCTGGGTCATTTTTTCTGTTGACTTTTAAAAATGTACCCTCGGGTGGAAAATTTATATTTCATTTGTGTCTTATTTTAAAAAGTCAAAAGATATCTGTTAAGCATCCACTACTTTCCAAGTGTGAGTCCCAGGAGTGGGGAAGAGGGGAAGTGTCACAGACAAAAACATTTGACAGGGTTTTAAAAGGAAGAAAAGAAATCTAAACTGTAAATGTTTTTAAAGAAAAGTGCAAGTAATTGAATGAGCCCTTAGGAGGCTCCTAGGGACTGTTGTTTGAACAAAAACCAAACAACAACAATACCACCACTGTAACAGGCATTTTCATTTTCTGAAGATTTAGAGTGAAAAGGTTGAATTCAGAAGACTAAGCAACACAGCTTGGTCCTCAGGGTCTATTTAAATGGCAGTAAAGGAATCCAAAGGAAACAACCAAGGAAGCCAGGGCACTCCTCAGCAGTCTAACATCTTAGTCCGTTCAGGCTGCCATGACAAAGATACCAGAGTGTGAATGGCTTCAACGACAAACACATGCTTCTTCTACTTCTGGACGCTGAGGAATCAAGATCATGAGGCATGCAGATTAGGTGTCAGGTGAGAACCTGCTTTAGTGCTGCAGAGCTTCTCCTCAGCATCCTCACAGGGCAGCTTTTGGGTCTCCTTGTTCTACTCTTATGACCCGGTCATCTCACAAAAGCCCTACCCTCTCAGTAACCCTAGTAATCCTAACTTTGGTGTTCATTTCTAGTGCATACATTTGGGAGAGGGTACATGGTCTACAAGCCACAACAGCCACGGATCCAAAGCCTTAAAAGACAGTAACTGGGTTGAAGTATGCTGAATAATGAAACAGAGCAAGGGGTGGGGTGGGGTGGGGAGGGTAGCTAGTTGGCTGAAATTGTCCTGTAGCGCTCCTAGGAACAGAGTTGAGCCCTGTGGTGAAGGAGAAGTGGGAGCTGATGGGGAGGTTGGGACTGAAAACCAGCTGCCCTGTGTGAAGAATTTTACAACCAAGGTATGTATCTCACTTTGGTCAAAAACTTGGCAGCATAAATAGAACCAAACTGGTATTAAACTTACTAGCTATGTTGTTATTGCCAGAAGACCCTTTCTAAGTTCTGAGAGCAAAGCTTTTGAATCCAGAATCGTGTATCTCGTCAACACTTCAGTTGAGTCAGAGGTGTAAGCAGTGAGAAATGTCTTCCATGCTCATCTCTATGAGGTAGATTCCTTACTGACTTGATAGGAGGAAAAATCAGTTTAGGGTGATGGCTGTGTAGTATTTTGGCAAGCAGCCAATTAAAACTTGAAAAATATCGGAAAAAAATAGAATAAAAAGCTGGAAGATCTTAGAGATGGTAAAGGAAGCATATTTCTTATCCAGGCACCCTAAGGAGATGTAGAACTCTGGGGAAAAAATATAAAACTGTGTAAGAAGGATGTGGACTAAATGTGAAGCAGCATAATCCTGAGCAGTGGTTTAGATGTGACAGGCCTAGCAGTTGATCACATGTGATGTTAACAGGTGTTGAAACCTTTAAGAGGTGGAGTATAATGGAAGTGGTTATGTCGTTGGAGAGGGGAGCAGCCTTAGAAGTGATTAATGTAGTTTTGATGGGGCTCTGGTTAGTTCTTGTGACAGTGGGTGGTTGTAAAGCAAGGCTACCCTGTGCTCTTGTCCCTTTTAACATGTTGCCATTGCCCTTTCTGCTGCTCCAGTTTGTTGTACCCACAGGGACCCTCACCCAAGTTCAAACAGATGGAGCCACCTGATCTCAGACTTCTAGCTTCCAAAACTATGAGCTAAAGAAACATTTTTATTTTATAAAGCACCCAACCTCAGGAATTTTAATATAGCAGTAGAAGGCAGACTAGCACTTGGAGTACAACGATACTTTAAAATCATTTTATTTGGGTACATTTTTTTTTTAATCCATGCACCTGATTTTCAGAAAGTTCATGGAAGATCTGTCTGAATACATTGTTCATAGATTTCAACATTTTTGCACCAAAACAGCTTATCTTTTAGTTCAATTTCCTGTTAACATTTTGAAGTACACAGATACAAAGGGAATCACCTTCCCCTTAAGACATTATTTTCCTCCAGATAACGCAGGAGTCAGGTCATCAAACTTATAAGGTGTACTGCTAGGGCTGCTCAGAAGTGGTTCATAGTTACGTAGCTATAATGTTACCAGTACTACTGATTTTGAGATTTCTTTTTAAAGATTGATTTATTTTAATTGGAAAGACAAGTTTACAGAGGGAAGGAGAGACAAAGATCATCGCTGTTTTACTCCCCAAGTGGCCACAACAGCTGGAGCTGAGCTGAGCCTAAGCCAGGAGCAAGAAGCTTCATCCAGGTCTCTCAGGCAGGTACAGGGTCCCAAGGCTTTGGGCCATGCACTACTGCTTTCCCAGCCACAAGCAGGAAGCTGGATGGGAAGTGGAGCAGCTGGGACAAAAACTGGTGCTTATATGGGATGCTGGTGCTGCAAGGCAGGGGATTAGCCATTTGAGCCATTGCACCAGCCCCGAATGTTCAGTTTTCTTAGAGAGTGTGTGAGCAACATATGGAATAGTTAGAAGAATGTAAATATGAGGAGGCTTCAAAAAGTTCATAGAAACTCACATAATATTTTAGCTCATTTTGCTACACTGTTTCTGTCATCCAAAAGATTGTAGTAGACGTTGTAAAATTTGACTGCGTCTGGGTTCAGATTGAGAGTGGGAAAGGGAGAACAACTTTTCCCTTTCTTTTTTTGAAAAGAAAACGAAGCCCTTTGAGGGTAGTCATTTAGGTAAGGTCGATGGCTGTGGATTGTAGTGCCTAGGCTCCGGCTCCCAACTAGCTGTAGTGGTGTCTTCACTTACTTGGTTCCTGCCACCTAAGTGAGGGACTTGGGTAGAGTTCCCAGTTCTGGCCATTGTGGGAGTTTGAAGAGTGAACTGATGATGGGGGCTTTCTGTGATTCTCAGTACACCTTCCAGGTAATTTTTTAAATTAAAATAATGAAAACAAAAATGTGTGGGCTGGCATTGATGCGCAGTGGATACATTTATCGCTTGCATCAGTGATATCACATGTTGGTACTGATTAGTGTTTTGGCTGCTCCACTTCAGCTCCAGCTCTGTGCTAATTACCTGCAGGAAAGCAGTCAAGGATAACGCATGCTTGTGGGCTCCTGCCACCCATGTGCGTGACTCAGATGAAGCTCCTGGCTTCAGCCTGGCTCAGTATGGCCATTGTGGCCATCTGGGGAGTGAACCAGAGGATGGAAGATTTATTTTGCTATTTTGTCCCCCTTTGTCTCCAACTTGCTTTTGAAATAAATATTTCCAAAATTAAAAAAAAAAAAAAAACGTTTAAGGCATTTGTAGATACTACCGGTAAAATTTTTAAGAAGTAGCTGATGGGGCCCGGCGCGGTGGCGCAAGTGGTTAAAGGTCCTCGCCTTGCACGCCCGGGATCCCATATGGGCGCCGGTTCTAATCCCGGCAGCCCCGCTTCCCTTCCAGCTCCCTGCCCGTGGCCCGGGAAGGCAGTCGAGGACGGCCCAAAGCTTTGGGAACCTGCACCCGCGTGGGAGACCCGGAAGAGGCTCCTGGCTTTGGATCGGCATAGTATCGGCCCGTTGCACTCACTTGGGGAGTGAATCATCGGATGGAAGATCTTCCTCTCTGTCTCTCCTCTCTGTATATCCGCCTTTCCAATGAAAAATAATAAAAATAAATCTAAAAAAAAAAAAAAAAGAAGTAGCTGATGGGCAAAGGGTTCCCCAGTTAGAATCACTGCTTCAGCTGTCCAGTTTTTATGCCTCTTCTGTTTAGCCTGGGCAAATCAGATAGCCACTCCACAACCTGTTTCCTCACATTGCAAAACAGTGCCACTCAGCCTCTGTACCAGGTAGTATTGTCATGAGGATTCCATTGGATAATGTGTGGGAAGGCCCTTTGAATGTGCTAAGAAACAGTGTTTGCCTCTGACTTACAGAATTGCTTCGGTTTATTAGGGGAACTCATTCGATTGAAGTAGTGAAGGGGGTGAATGTGTCTGCAACTGCTTGAGGCAGCTCATGTAGTTTCAGGGTCTTAAGTGATCTGGGGTCATGAGGAAGAGGAAGAACTAAATTTTTGAGCACCTGCTTGCTGTTCTTAGTGCCAGATCTAGGATCTGACGTTTCTCATACTTTGCTCAGAAGATCCCTGAGCCAAGGAGAAAGAACTGTGGTCTCCAGGAGCCTCATTGCCAGTACCGGTAGCAGAAGCTAGGAGAACCTCACGTATTCCTTAACGGTAGGCCTTGCCTTGATTGAACAAAACGCAGCACTGCTGTAGTCTAATTCTCTAGGCCTATTTACTCAGGTAGCTTCATATTCCCCCAGGTAAACACTTGGATCAGTGGCAGCAGTGTCCCGACTTTGAACAATGCTCAGTGACATCTGGATGTCCTCATGTACTGCTTGGAATATTATGGTATAGATTGTGCAGTGCTCACCTAAGCTTCAGGGAGACAGAGGGATCTCGGAGCTGGCAAGAGTAGGAAGTCATTTTCACCCCAGGGTGGTTTGAGTGCAAGCATATGCTTTTGCTCAGCACTGCCTTTAGAAGGGGGAAACTAAATTAGCCTGTTCCAAAGGTCCATGTTATGAACCTGGAAAGTAGAATGCAAACATAATTCTTGGCTTTTCTAGTTTTGTTCCTTATTCATTGGTGGTTTTGTCTCTGTTTTCAGCCAAAGCACCAGACAAACCTATTCAGGTAGTCTATGTGCCCTCACATCTGTTTCACATGCTATTTGAGTTGTTCAAGGTAAGTGGAATTCAAAAACATGGGAAGAACTCTTCATTTTAAATTACTTTGATTCAGAGCATAATGGATTCATTAGATTAGCATAAGAAAAAGGTTTTGCATTACCATTTTAAAAATTCTATTTCTGATATCCTGTGGGTTTTATAATTTGTACACTGTGAGATGAAAAATTGCTGTGTGCAGTATACTTTTTTGTGAATATTAGTACATATTGATTTTCAAACTTAATTGTGGCATTCGGTGAAATTCGTACTGTTTTTTCTTCAGTTATGAGGTTAGACATGCTCATTAGTTTTCAAACGTGACAAAAGCTGTATGGGTTATAGCCAAATCAAAATAAAAACACAGATTGATGTTTCTGACCATTGACTGTGTTGGTGCATTAGCAATTGCTCCAGTCCTGGGAGATCCTATAATCTATCTCCATGTGTGAATCGATTCAGAAAATCTGACAGAGGCAAAGGGTAAAAATGTGAATTGACTGGACCACAAAGGACAAAAGGGCAAAAAGAGCTCTATAGAATGCTTAAAGCTGTAGATAATGGCATTTACTGTAGAGTATTGTAGGCACAAGGATTTGAGTTAAAAATTTCATTTCTTCCCATTGTGCAAAGCACTAAATTGAACACCTGAAAAATCAGTTATGCTGATTTACTTCTAAAAATCAGAATGTTGCTTATGTAACACTTGAAGGTTGAGATGGGCATTCAATTGTGAACTTTCTCTTCAACTGTCGTGGATTTTACAAAATTTCTTTTAGAAAATATTTATTTATTTTGATTTGAAAGTCAGATGTACATAGAGAAGGAGAGACAGAGAGATAAAGATCTGCTATCTGCTGGTTCACTACCCAAGTGGCTGCAATGGCCAGAGCTGAGCCAGTCCAATACTAGGAGCCAGGATCCTCTTCCAGGTCTCCCACGTGGGTGCAGGGTCCCAAGGCTTTGGGCCATCCTCTACTGCTTTCCCAGGCCACAAGCAGGGAGCTGGATGGGAAATGGAGCAGCAAGGACACAAACCGGAACCCATATGGGATCCTGGTGCATGCAAGGCAAGAGTTTAGTTTAGGCACTAGGATATTGCAGAGGGTTAGAATTTCTTTTAAACTGGTGTTTTTTCTACTTATTTTTTTTTTGGCCACTAGATTGGTTTTGGGGTTTTGCTTTTGTTTTTGTTTCGTTTCAAGGAGACATGAATTCTTTCTGTTTTTATGCCTGCCTTTGAGGAAAGGTGCTCTATAAATGCAGACTGCCAACAGGATTTAAAGTGTACAAATTAGCTTGTGCAGCCTCATTACTTGTAATAAATAAACCTCTGGATTGAGTTGAATGATTCAAATACCCTAAAGTAAGGGGAAAAATATAAAAGAAGGAAAGAAATAAAAATATGTTGGATGGAGCTAAAACTAGATGAAATATGAAATACCAGGAATTTTTTCCTTGATCTGAACACATGTTTAGTAGTTACAACTTTTTTCATTTTATTCAAAAGGTGGAGTGCCAGAGAGAGAGAAGAGAGAAGTAGGGAGCTAGAGAAAGAGCATGTGGTTGGAAAAGAAGGGGTTTCTATCCACTGGATCACTCCCCAAATTTCTATAACAGTCAAGGCTGGGCCAATCCTAAAGCAGGGAACCTGGAACTCATTCCAGGTCTTCCTGCAAGGTGGCAGGGATCCAAGTACTGGCCCATCACCTGCTGCTCCACATTAGCGGGAAACTGGATTGCAGGTAGACCCAGTGCTTAAACTAGGCATTCCATTATGGGATTTGGATGTCCCAAGTATCATCTAAACCAGTGGACTACACACCCACCCTGGCCAAACCTGTAAGAGGGAAAGAAATGCTGCATAAATCCAGCTAATATTTGTCTAACAAAAGAATTATTGGGTATAAGTAGTTAAGTAGTGTTGTGCTTGTTTCTTTTTAATAACTGTACTTTCTAAGTCAATGAGTTGTTTGGTTAAAAAAAAAATCTTCTTATTTTAGAACTCAATGAGGGCAACAGTCGAACTCTATGAAGATAGAAAAGAGGGCTACCCAGCTGTCAAAACCCTTGTTACTTTGGGTAAAGAAGATTTGTCCATTAAGGTAACTGCTTTATTTGCATGCATTCTGTCATTCTCAGCTGGTTTAATAGTTTCTAGACATTGAGAAATCTGAGGGATGTGAGTAAAACTGACATATTTTGTCTTATGGATGAGTACAGTCAGGTGCTGCCTAACGATGTTTTGGTTCACAACGTACCGCACCTGTGACAGTCATGCTGTACAGTTCTGCACCTTTTGAGGCTGGCAGGCATCCTAGTTTCTGTGAGTGTACACTGGGGTATTCACACTGCAAATCCCTAACAAAGCAGTTTTCAGAACTTCCCTTGTCATTAAGTGATGCATGGTGGTACTGAGCTGCATCCTTAGCTTAGGTCAAACTCACTTAGAATGCCATTATTTAGGGTGCTGGATGAGACTTCAACTCCAAGCCTGTAAGATCCTATTTCATGAGCTGACTACTAGGTATAGGTTGATTTCTTTTTAAAGTATTTGTAACATTTTTTGTGCACTGCAGATAAGTGACCTAGGCGGTGGAGTCCCACTTCGAAAAATAGATCGTCTTTTTAACTACATGTATTCAACAGCTCCTAGACCCAGCCTGGAACCCACAAGAGCCGCCCCTTTGGTAAGCCTCCTGCTCCACTGCTGAAGGGAAGAGCACTCATGTGCAAAGAGGTTCTGTCTGTAGGAGGGATAGAGCTCCCCAGCTCCCCAGCTTCTGCCACCAGCCATGCTAAGAAGGTGTTGTGGCTAGCTTTGGAGGAGGGGAAGCTTTTTGCTTTGGCTTCTTCCTTTGTGAATGCTTTGAACTTAGATTTCTTCTCAATTTGTGGCTGAGAAGCACTCTGAGCTGAGTGCTTCACTCCCAAAATAGAGGGAAAGCCTTTCACAGCCTGTTCCCTGAGCACCACTTAGCACCTTCTGCTGCCCTTGGATGTGAGGCATACTCCCATGTGCAGGAGCCAGAGCCCAGCAGCCCAGGTCACCCAGGGCCTTGGAATCTGCTCTAATTTATTTATATAATTAAAGCATTCATTATAAAGATATTCCATTTTCTATATTATATAACGTTAGCATGAAACATACAGGTGGTAGATGCATTGTCAAAGTGCTTTCTCTCACACTCTAGCACTAACCTTCAGCCCTGTCAAGGTGTGGAGAAATGCCTCTGGTTACCATGGTAGCACTGAGATCCTGGTAGGGCCACACTTTCTCTCCCTGCTGAGTGTTTCTAATTGACAAACAACAATTGAAACCTTTGTCATTAAACATAGCAACATATTTATCAGTCTGCAAAACAGTTCAGGGTATAAATTAAGTTTCATTTTAGAGTCCTACCTTACTGATAAGCATATAAGATTATATTTTATTTGCATGAATAAAATCAAGTGTTCTGCATTATTTGTTTGAGACAGAGTTTGTTAACGCAGCATGTTGAAAACAGGGAAAGTCAAGAAAATTTGTGAACGATTTGGAAAGGCAGTGCCTTGACCAACCTGTGGTATCTATTTATTGGTATCTATTTATGTAAATAAATATCCAAAGGAAAAAACGGCACCAGTGCATCCGCCATTTTTCAAAATTAGTATGGACTGTCTCTTTGAGGCCTTAAAATAGTGTCCTGAGGATGGATTTATGTCATGGTTTCTTATGAAACCAAGGAATTGGAGTAAGAGACCTTAAAATGTGAACTGACCCTTCCTTGTATAGCTGATGAAATGACTAAGTGATAGCAAAGCTGGTGCTGGCTGTTACGTGTTCTTCCAGGGTGGCACATGGCTGTCCTAGTGCAGAACTTCTTCCACTTGTGTCTCTGTGGTGCATGAACTGCCCTCAGCTTTAAAGTGGGTATATGACTGTGCTACTAACAAGTGAAACTTGTTCAGTGACCACCTGAACAGTTTAACCCCTGGGTCTTGGCACAGGAGCCTGTGACTGGCAAACTCCCATTGGCCCCTTTCCTGCCCTGGGAGACCTGCTATGAACCTCACCAAATCTGAAATAGCGCCCCCTACTGCATTTTCTGGGAACCCCCCCCTTACTGCTGCTCTGTTCTTTGCTGTTCCCTATCTGGTTTAAGGGAAGGCTTGGGGCCTTGCTGGAATGCTGGGGGCAGATTTCCAGGTCTCTTCCTGGAATAGGCTTTTTTCCTTGCTGCGGTTACCTCAGTCAGTACCCTGGCTGTCTGTTCTTTCCTCCTACCTGCCTTAGCCAGCACATCCTACAGCCCCTAAATGACATGGTATGTTCTGTCACTCCATGGCCTTGCCGTTAGGCCCTACCCCGAGGAAGATGTCAAGGAGAGTGGTTCAGTGTGCGAAAACGGCAGAAATCCATGTCACTTGATAAAATTGCTGCTCTTAGTAGCTCTAATCTCAGCTCCCGTTTATGTAGTTTTACTATGCGTTAGGCACTGTGTGGTGACTTTACACTTACTTCGTTTCTTCTCTATAGCAGCTCTGAGGTAAGCTTTTTATTACATGTTCCTATGAGAAAACAGTCTCTAGGAGGTTGAGTAAACTGCCCAGAGTTGTCAAACAGAAGTGGATTTGGATTCAGATCTGAGTCCAAAGCCACAGCTGCACGTGTCCATTAGCCAGCTGCTTACCCCATCCTTAACCTTGTCAGTAGATTGAAGCAAAGATGATGAAGCTTGACAGTGTAACATCTCCCCCCACACTGGCCTCAGGAACATTGCTGAATTTGGTCAATTCTTCTTTTTAAAAATTCTATCCTGCTTTTGCTTTTTCCTTTTTTAAAAACACCAATCATTCAGTCAGGGTTTTTGTAAGGGAGGGTACTGGATTTGTTTTTCTTGTTTCTTAAAATAACCTGCGTGAGAATATCTTAATATCCTTTAGTGTCTCTGAACTTTAGGAAGTGTTCTCTCAGAGGACTGTCTCCTTTGCAGTATGTGAGCCCTGTTCCGGCTTGGTCTGAACTGAGGTGTTACTGCTTTTCCTTAAGAGCGAGGCAATCTAATAGTGCAATTTTGAAATGATATGGATTGTTTTGTTTTGTTATTCAGCTCAATTCTATTTTGAGTTTTCCAGAAATATATGGTAAAAATTTGCTTCAAAATGCTGAAAAAAATTGTTAGTAAAAAAAACCTGAAATGGCTGCAGTTACCCAAATACATGAAAAATGTTTCTGCGAGGTGAAAATAGAGATTGTTTGCTGGAGCTGAGCATATGTATGTGCTCGCACATATGTGTGCATGTATATGTCATTGTAAAGGTTGAATCAGTAATTCAGTCAAATGAACTTTGAATCGAGAATTTCTTTTCATCTTCTCGGAATGTTCTCATATAGAACATGCTGGCATTTGTGTCTTTATCAGTGCATTAATTTTCTTTTCTTGCTAGGCTGGATTTGGCTACGGTTTGCCGATTTCTCGTCTATATGCTAGATATTTTCAGGGAGACCTAAAACTGTATTCCATGGAAGGAGTGGGTACTGATGCTGTCATTTATTTAAAGGTACTGCATTTGGTTTCTGTCACTGTAAAGGCATTTTTAGTGATGAAGTTATTGTCTCTTACATTCAGCTCAAAATTATGCAGGTTTAATGGGAAAATCATATTGTGCCTTTCCTTGGATTTTAGACTCAGTGATAGCAAAACATGAAATCTTGAGTTATAAAACTTGTATCATTTTGTTCCTAAAACTGTATTAATCAGTTTTTTTCCCTGTACATAAAATTTCCCCTATATATATATAAGATAAATTCATTCTTAAATTATGGTCCAGGGCCCGGCACAATAGCGTAGTGACTAAAGTCCTTGCCTTGCATGTGCCAGGATCCTATCTGGCTGCCAGTTCTAATCCCGGCAGCCCCGCTTCCCATCCAGCTCCCTGCTTGTGGCCTGGGAAAGCATAGCATGCTGCTATTTGCGGTGCCGTAGTTAATCCATTAAAGAGTACTTCTCTTAAATGCAAGTGCAGCTGATTGACATTATACATGATATTATTTGATGGCATATGTTTATACATCAGGTATGCATGACACTACTTCTCCCAGTCCATTTAGAGAGCTGTCGGGTGGTCGCAGTAGTCGGAACAGGTGAATATTTCAGAGCAGTACTAACAGAACGGACTAGGCACTCTTCTGGTCATGTGTATTTTAGCACTTGTTTTGCATAAATGAATGTTTGCAGTTTCTTTTTTTAAGATTTATTTGTTTTTATTGGGATGGCAGATTTTACAGAGAGAAGGAGAGACAAAGAGAAAGATCTTTTACCCACTGTTTTACTTCCCAAGCGCTGCAATGGCTAGAGCTGAGCTGATCCGAAGCCAGGAGCCAGGAGCTTCTTCTGGGTCTTTCATGTGGGTGCAGGGTCCTAAGGCTTTGGGCCATTCTCTACTGCCACAAACCGGGAGCCAGATCAGAAATGGAGCAACCAGGACATGAACTGGCGCCCATATGAGATCCCAGTGCTTGCAAGGCGAGAATTTAGTAACTAGGCTATCGCGCTGGGTCCTGCAATTTCTTTTAAAAAGCTTTGGGTCAGGAAAGAAGGAATGACGGAAATATAGCGTTAGAATTGTATCTATGAACTACATTAAATCTGTTCTCTTTATAGTAACTAAAAAAATAGTAAACTTTACAGTAGGTGTCACAGACAGTGGGTTAAGCTGCTGGGGACCCTTGCATCTCATACTGGACTGTTAAGTTGGAGTCCTGGCTGTTTGACCTCCGATCCAGCTCCCTGAGAACATGTCTGCAAAGGCAGCATGTTATGCCCCAAGTGCTTGGGTCCCTGCCACCCATGTGAGAGACCTGGATGGAGCCCAGGCTCCTGGCCCAGCTTTGGCTATTGTGAGCGTATGGGCAGTTAACCAGTAGATGGAAGATCTCTGTTTCTCCTATCTGTCAGTCTGCCTTCCAAATAAATAATTTTTTTCTTAAAAATAGCTTGAGTTTTTCCTAAACATTGCAACTGTTACAATAATTGTAATAGAATTTTAAATTGCATTTTAAAATTTCTTATGTTTTAAATAGTAAGGATTTGAATATTTCACATGAGAATAATGACATTGTGGACCTTTGGATGTATATTTTAATTTTTCCATTAGGCTCTTTCAAGTGAGTCCTTTGAGAGATTGCCGGTGTTCAATAAGTCTGCATGGCGCCATTACAAGACCACGCCTGAAGCTGATGATTGGAGCAATCCCAGCAGGGAACCCAGAGATGCGTCAAAATATAAAGCTAAACAGTAACGTGCTACTTTGATTTCTATCATAAAAAACCTGATTTGTCCCTTGGATGTACTAGCCAGATGCTTGATACTTTTTGCCCTATCTTCCTTGTGTTTTGAAAATTGATTCGCATGTAATACTTGTACATTTTAATGGCATACAGTGCAATAATTCTGTACATATACAGAAATGAACTGATCAAGCTGGGCCATTCACCTTTCGTTTCTGTAACTCCTCTTAGTGTTTGGAGCCTACCAGCTCATTTTCCCAGTTCTTCATACATGCTATAACCTACCTGTTACTGTGAACTCTAATTGCTTCCACTCTTCTGTGGAACACTAAGTGTATCTGACTCTGTTTCCGTTCCTGTTATTCAACCAGCTTCTGTCTCCACTCTTCCCAGCCTCTAGTCACCACTGCTTGAATTCAAAGTATTCTTCATTTCTAACTTCACAGAAGAAACATGAGATATTTGTGTTTCTGTGTCTAGCATATTTATTTCTCTTTATATAATGACTTCCAGTTTCATCCATTGTGCTACAGATGTCAGGATTGTATTGGTTTTTATGGCTGAGTAATATTCCATTTTGCCTATATCACATTTTCTTTATCCAGTGATGGACAGCTAGGTTGACTCTGTTTTGGCTATTATGAACAGTGCAACGGTGAGTGTAAGAATGAAGGTATTCTCTTCATATACTGATACCAGTTCTTCCAGTATACCCACAAGTGGGATAGCAGCAACAGTAAGGGTTCCTTTTCTCTACGTCCCCTCCAGCAATGGTTAGTTTGTGTCTACTCTGATAATATCCATTCTTGTAGGAATGAGATAATATGTCATCATGATTTAGATTTGAAGTTCTCTGATGATAGCGTTTTTGTTTTTTGGGGTTTTTTTTTTTTTTTTCAAGCAAAGTGATTCCCAAAGAAGGAAAAAGTAGTGCAGACTTTTCACCTCAGGCAAGGGCTGGCAAGACTTGGGTAGCCACAGGTGCAGTGTGAATAAAGGACCCACTAGTCTAGGAATCCTTAACGGCCTTAAGTAGGGGCTTGGCCTATTATGTTTTACTTGAAAAGCAATTAAGCTTGCCATTTGTCATCATCCTTAGAGGTTTACAGAAGATTATTTCAAGAAATTTTCTGGGTTAAAGCTGAAAAAAATATGTAAGTTGAAATTATCTGTCATTATAAGCAAAATATGATATGTCTGTACAGTGAAATATTGCCAGCCACTAAAGGGATGGGTGATCTGACATATGCTACAGCATGGATGAACCTTGAAGTCATAATGGTAAACAAGCCAGACTGGGAAGGACAAATATTGTCTAATTCCATTTATGTGAGATAGCTAGGGAAGTCAAATTTGTAGAGTCAGTCAGCGGAAAGGTTGTTTGTTACCAGGCACAAGAGGGCACAAGGAGAGGGGAGATGTTGCTCAGTACTTACAGTTTTAGTTCAGGCTGTGACAAAGTTTATAGAATTGGATACTGATGATGGATGCACAGTAGTGTGAATGTACTTAATGTCGCCGAACTGTACAATTAAAATGCTTGCAATGGTTAAGTTATATGTTATATAGTTTATCACAATAAAAATGTTAGAAAAAAAGATTCCCAACCACAGTAACAAGTTTCACTATTTTATGGTCATAAGGAAATTAATCTGGACTTTGCTTTCCAATTTTTTTTTTCTTCTACCAGTAAGCTCTGATTCTACAAGCATGATTGAGTTATTTTATTTAAAAATAAGCTTTAATGGGCCCAGCACGGTAGCCTAATGGCTAAAGTCCTCGCTTTGCACACACCCGGATCCCATATAGGTGCCAGTTCGTGTCCTCGTGGCCCCTCTTCCCATCCAGCTCTCTGCTTGTGATCTAGAAAAGCAGCCGAGGACAGCTCAAACACTTGGGATCCTGCACTGTGTGGGAGACCCAGAGAAGGCTCTGGCCTCCTGGCTTCAGATTGGCGCAGCTCTGGCCATTGCTGCCGCTTGGGGAGTGAATCATTGGACAGAATATCTTCCTCTCTGTCTCTCCTCCTCTCTGTATATCTGACTTTGCAATAAGAGAAATAAATCTTAAAAAAATAAGCTTCATTAATAGAAAAGCAGAATATATACATTGTGAATAACTCAAAACAAATAAGCTTTAAAAAATGAAGGACAAATGACTAAATTCCCACATCTTAGATATTGCCCTGTTACAGTTGATGTATGTTCTGTCAAATAGTTTGCTATATATGTGTGTATATTTTTCTCAAAATGAGATCATATTATTCCTACTGTTTTACGAGCTGCTTTTGTTTCATGTAATCGTCTTTACCTTTCCGTGTCAACAAATTATCTCATTAAAATTCCCAGTGTGTCCAAACCAGGAAATATTCCAGGATTACATCTGTGTAGCTTCAACCTATTGTCACTGTCAAAGTAGAACATTCTGTTGTTGAGAGACCATGTTGGTTAGCCTGCAAAATGTGCCACCTTAACCTGACTTTTTTTGGAATGTCTTTTGGCTTATTTGTCTCTATTCCTTATATGTGAATGAAAGTTGATTTAAAGGCTCAGTGAAACATTTTTGCTGAATATTCCATAAGCCCTGTTGCACAAGTACCCTGTAAAACACATGATATCTAATTGGCCCACCATTAGTGATATTAGGATTGACCTCAGTTTAGATGATGGGTGACTGTCATCTTCCCTGTTTCACTCCAGAGTAATCTCTGTGGTGTTATTTCACACTGAGTAGATGTCTGCTTGCATACCAGCCATTCTAATTTTTAAACTCTTTGTTCATTTTGGCCTGAATTAATGATATTAGTGTTTGTAAAAAGTTTTTTTTTTTTTTTAAGTTATCCCTTTGACAATAATTACCGGACATTCTCCTTTAGAGAAATGTTCTTTCTCACCAACTAAAGCAGTACCTTGAAGTACATTTTTTTCCCATGTGTCTTCAGTTTTTTTCTCTTTAAATTTAAAGGGGAGCTTAAGTTCTCTTTAACATTTTTTCAAGGTAGGAAGTTAGGTTCAAACCCACCTTAAATGTAGTATTAGTGTAAGTTAGACGTTACGTAGTATCATTATAAATCTTCATTTCTTTAATATGTCTCAGTACTGCTTCACAGTATAACACATAGTGCACAAATCTGAAGTATCTAATTTGAAATGCTTTTACATGTATATTTTCAGCATCCTAAAAGATGCCTTTTGAGCCGAACTCTTCTCCCTCCCTGTCTGTAACACATAACCATCTTTCTGACTCTTAACTGTAGGCTCTATTCTTGAATTAAAACAAAAACAGCATATCTGTTGCGCCTTTTTGTGTTTTTCTTTTTTTTTTGGTGTCTTTTTGTGAAATTAATCTATGTTATTGCATCTGGCGATCATTATCCTTTTTTGTGCTTAAACATGCTTACCTTTGGCCAGCGGAACCCGTTTGATCTGAATCTCATCTGTTCCATTGAAAAACACCCACTCAGAGCTTTCTTGATCTTTGGCCCAATATGATATGCTAGGCTCGTCTATTAGCTTCCGTGCCCATGTCCTGGAATTTACCCCTAAGGAGTTCAGTCTTATTTTAATGAGTATTAGAAACTTAATCGTGAAGATTAGGAGTCTCATTATGCCTTTTCTAGTTCTTTTGTCTAGGCAAAGCTATAAAAAGATGTTTTTAAAATCATAAACTTTGTTGATATTTTGTATTCTGCTTTACCATTGCAATGTTTCTCCCTGATGTATCTCTCCTGAATCTTTATTGTTAACATCTGGAATACAACAGAAAGATATTTGTATGTGTGTATAGCTTATAAAGTTTTGCAGTTTGTACCATTCTAGTAGTATTGGTAAAGTTTATTTTTCTCTGTAGAAGTCTCATGATGAACTTCTATGCGGTATTGCTGGACTAGCCACTCTGATGCTGAAATTTGGAGGAGTTTGGTTTGTGTATGTGTGCACTGCATATATAGGTGTGCATACTCATAAACACTTTGACTGGCATTATTGCCAGATAGGAATAAACTAAATCAGCTTGATGAACCAGATGAGATCAGTTGCTCTTTACTCCATTTTCACTCTCTATGTAACCAGTACATCAAACTATTGCTCTGATAGAGGAATTTGGATAATGCAGAAAAATACTTATAGATAAACTGTATTTTGATTCTAGTAAGGTGACTTTAATTGTATATTGTCTTTAGAGCAATATTGAAACTTGGTTGTGCTCTGATTATATACAAGCCTTAATTTCTAATATATTATTAGATAGAGTCTAACATAAAACTTGTAAATTCTAAAATTCTTAGCCTGAGTATCAAAATTGTTAAAATGTACAAATAAGATAATTGATAGAGATTTGGGGAATGTATTTACTAGGTATGGTAAATTCACTAGATGTTTGTACATGAGAAATTTGAAGAAGTTTTTTAAGTAGCTGCTTTATTGAGACATAATTCACACTTCATAAAATTCACTGTTTCCAAGTTCAGTGGCTTTGAATATTTTCAGAGTTGTGCTATCCTCACCACTATCTAATTTTGGAGTATTTCATCATCCCAGAAAGAAACCCCATACTCATTAGCAATCATTCCCCATTTCTAATCAGGTTTTTAACTAAGAGTAAAGAACTGTTTTAAAGTAGACATGAATAATTAAATTATGTTTTTTTTTTAGTAACCATAAAAATAATTCTAAGATAAGGCAAGGGTTTTTGAATTATCACTATATTAAATGCTCTGAGTAAGTCTTGGTTAAAAGAGATGGTTGTACTCATAAACTCACTGTGGATATTCTCATTATTTTCTTTATAGGGACAAGATCAAGACTAATAGAACTTTCTAGAGACCCGAATTCTTTGGTCCCATCTGTGAAGAATGTCTTCTGCAAGTCAACCAGAGAGAACTTCTTTCTTCTACCAACTCTGAGTGTGGCACCATAGCTATTCCCAGTGCTTTAATGTATGTTTTCCTCTGTGCAAGGTAGACCTTTCATGGAGTCTTTCCTGTAGCTACTCCACATTTTCCACTGAAGTCATGACTTGCTTAATTTTTTGTAATATCTTGCTTTGGTGTGATTGACACCTGTCACAAATGAGCACAGTGCCTCCTTTGAGCTTGCTGCCCTCCTACTCTCCATCTCATTCTTAGAGTGTCCCAAGTCTACAGCCTCCCCAGAAAATGAGCTTCTTCCCTAGTCCATATACAGCAGAACCTACTGCTGTTCTTTGTGACCAAATAGCAGATTTAGTACCTCTAACTAGGACCTAGGGAATTTAGAAGTGGAAGACATCCACTGAACTTGTCTTGATAAATCAGTCCTAGGCCCCTCATGCCACTCTCAATTTCAGGCTTCTCCTTCTTCCAGCTCTTCATATTCTCACTGTGAGATGTGGTACTTGCGTGTTAGACCTTACAGATGCATTGATTTTATTTCAAAAGTATTATGTATATTTCCATTCTGTTGATTAAAGTATTCCAAAAGTTGTCTTGAAATTTTTCACTGTACTACTTGGTTTCAAAGATCTTAAATGAAAACCATATTCTGGTCATTACCAAGTCTTATAAAGAATGGGAAATGGAGTTTTTGTGCTTCTGTAAAAATTTCAATACTCTAATATTGTACCTTTGTTGTATTATATTCCTTTGTAGTCTTCTAAGGAATTGGCAATTCCTGTGTGATGCACTTTACTAGTTGGAAAATAGATTATTGAAGGGAAAAGTTCTCTCTAGTTTATTTTGAAAAAATGCTATAGGTCTTTGTAATTTTAATTTTTTGTTAATTTTAGCTCATTTTAGTATTGTTATCTTAGTTTGATTTTCACAATGCTTTACTAATTGCTACAAGTTGGAAGTAGCAGAGGACTTAAGATAAAGAAAGAGACATGATGTCATATATTATCCTTAGAAGTAGAAGCTTTCACAGTGTCTAGATTAAAACCAGCCTCTTATGCAGCTGCACAGGTTATATTTTTCTTGTTTCTCTTTTTCATATATATATCTTCTAGCCTGACTTCTGCTCTCTTCTAATGTCTATTTGTAAAGGTTTCAGTCCACTTTCTTAGTATTGCATCCACTGGTGCAGAAAGTTAAGCTTCTGAAGTAGTCTTCCTCCTTAGTTATATTACCATAGCAGTGTAGTTGTCTCCACTGCCTTCACAGCAGGGGCCTTCCCCTTGGGGAGGAGCCAGGCACCAAGTAGTTGCACATGGTTGGACTACATCTGTTTCTGTTCATCACACTGAGTCTTCTTGTCTTCCCTTTTACTATGTCACCTGAGTTCATGGAGCTCCCTTCACATGAGAAAGATCTCATCTTTTCCATCCTTAGATAGAGAATTCATAGTTAGTCAGTTGGGTGAAAAAAATAGGTATGAACTTCCCAGAAACTGGGGGGAGATGAATCATATGGCAGCCTGTGGGTTTGAGGACTGAATCAGTGTCTTGGGGGTGGGGCTCTTTTATTTGATGATTTTTCCTGGTGGTAATAATGGTGTTTTACATTTAAAGACCCTCACTCCCTTGGAAACATTAAGTAGTGTATCATTATCTTAGTAAGCCTCAATTCCCCACCATACCCATTTACACTTTCAGATATGGTACATTGTAGGAAAGGAGCCGACAGACTCAGGTCATGTCACCACCTCCCTGTCTTGGTAGTGTTGCAGTAGTTAGAGGAATGCCCACTGATCACCAGGCCCTCACGGTAGGCACAAGGGAAGGGGCCGAGTATGGGGAATATGGTGTATCAAACCTATCACATTCTATCCTTGCAAATCTTGTTCAAAAGCACAAATTTATTTCAATGTCTCAACGACTTAAGCAGTAGTCTTTTACTAGTATTCTCTTTAACTTACTCATTTCCATCTGACCCAAGTACATACTGCTTTTTTTTCTTCACTAAGATTCCACTTTTCTCCTAAAATAAGAGTTTCCAGAACATCTTACGTTCTTACAGTTTACCAGACCCTTTACTAACATGTTCATTTATATTTCCTTTAAAATGTTTTATTTATTTGAATTACAGAGAAAGAAATCTTCCATCCCCTGAATCACTTCCTTAATGACCACAATGGCTAAGGGCATTGAGGCCAAACACAGGAACCAGAAGCTTCATCTAGTCTCACATGTGGGTTACAGGGCCCAAACACTGGGGGCATACCCTACTGCTTCTCCCAGACACATTAGTAGGGAGCCTGGAGTGCAGCATCTGGGACATGAACTGGCACCTGTATGGGATACCAGCATCACAGGCAGCAGTTGTAGAGTGCCAGCCTCTATCCATGTGCTGCATTTGTCTGTAAGCAATGGTCAGATTTCAACAGATAGCTTGTAATCTAAGTAGATAAGGCCCTCTTTTCAGTGAAATTCTTCTCCATCTCTGTAATGCCCAGTGATTTACTTCCTTTTAAGTATCTGGGGACTGGGTCTGCTGTTTGAAATAGTGCCTGGTAGAGAGTAGGTGCGTAGTAAATATGAGTTGAACCAAAGAGGAAAATGATGGACATTGACCTTGGGTAGTGGGACAGTACCTCTGTATGATCTTAAAACTATCACTGCCTCCACATTAAAAAAAAAAATCAAGTCTGTATCTGTGAAAGTGCTGAATTTCCTTTTCATGCTAACAGCTGACTTGAAAGGATAGAAAAACTAAAGGAAGGCAGTAGAGTTGGATCCACAGGAGCTATCTGATCCTTTCTTTGTCTTAGAGGATCTGATTTTGGCTCCTTGATATACCAGGTCTTTTTTTTTTTTTTTGTTACAGTCTTGCTGTTAGATTCCAAAGATTGGGTGCATACTGCATCCCACTGGATCCTAACCATGCCATGAGGTGAACTGCACAGGCACACCTCTGTTTTTTACATGAAACCCAAAGCAGCTAAGTGGTTCGCCAAGGTGGCGTGGTAAGTGACGGGAAGAGCCCAAGTGAATAGTTGGTCTTCTCGTCCTAAGCTAGAGCTCTGAACCATACACCAGGGCACTAGCATTATCTCTTTTGAATAATTTCTTGGTTGTATTTGTCCTCAAGGATAAGCTCTAAACCAAAAATTGTAGGTAGTACAAGGTAATTCCACTCAGGGGAGGTTTCCTTTTGTGTGTTTCCATTTTGGCATAGATAGAGGAGATATGAATTTGGCAATTTTTACCTAGAAAGATGACCAACTTTGAAAGATATAAATGTAGACAATTACCACAGTTATTTAGGCTTAATTCTGTGAGTGAATTCAGTGTTCACTGCCAGCTCTTTCATGCAAAGACTCCACATCTGAGAGTTATTGCTTTTATCATTTGGTGGACTGGATTACAGCTTCAGCTAGATTTTTCTCACATACTTGCAAATGTATTTCTGTTGCTGTTACTTAGGAACAAACAAATAACTTGGCAGGCTCTCAGAGTCTTGTGTTGCACCTCAGCACTGTGCTGAGGAAGTGAGTCAGTGCTGTGGGGATGCCAGAGAGGTCTGATTCCGGGTGCATGCCTCCTTCCCCTTTGTAGATCCTGATTGTTGGCCCTGGACACTTGTGATTCTTTATTTATCCTTCAAATTCAAGTACTTCATTCCAGGAAATCTTGGGATTAACAGTTATCTATTGACTTGGCAGTTTCTGGTACAGAGAGAACATCACATTTTGCTATTTCAGGCCTTTCTGCAGTACAAATAGGTTCATTCTGTTCTGCAAGAATCTGTCCTTATACTAGCTCTCTCTTATCTGTTCTTGGCGTTTTGATTTCCTTTGATGGATCTCATTTTCTTGTCTTTCCTTTCACTTTGGAATTTTGTCTCACTTCTTATCCTCCATTTCACTTCCTTAGTTTTTCTGTACTATTGAGTCTAGGCCCTATCGCTTCTAATATGGTTTTCATGTCCTGAACAGTTTTGTTTCTTTCTTCAGCTCCTCGTGATGCTGTATTTCGGTCCTTACTTCATTTTTTTGTTTGTTTGTTTTACAGTTTTCATGGCTTCTGGGATCAATCTTTCTCCAGAGAGTTTTTATATTGTTTGCTTCTTGTCTTCTTTTTCTTACACTGTCTTGCTTTTCTATTGCTGCACAAGTGTTGTGATGGCTGTTTCTGCTTATTATTTCCATTTTGTATAGGACCAGTTTTTTTTTCCTGCCCAAGAAGATTGTGGATACATTCACTTCATCTCTTCTTACAAATAAGTTTGTGTACAGTTGAAACATGCTACCTTGGGGAACAGTGTGGTATTTCAATTCATATAGTGATCAAATGGGAGTTCATTAGTTTATCATCACCTTAAACACTGATCATTTCTTTATGGTAATAACATTCCAGATCTCTTTTTGTAGCTATTTTGAAATATACAACACATCATTATTATCTATAGCCACCCTAGTGTACAACCAACACCAGAACTTACTCTTCCTACCTAATTTTAGCAATAGACCAATTGATCCACATGTTCCCATTTCCCTCTGCCTTCCCATGGCTCCGCCTTTTTTTTTTTTTTTTAAGCAAGAATTGTTTGAATGATCACCCTAACCCTTCAACTGTAGTGCCTTCTTTTGGACTTGTTGCATCTTGTGGCTCGGGGGTGGCCAAGTCCCTTTGAGAGGCAATCCCCTTGTGTGTTCCCTCCTTAGTATCAACTGTTACTGCCAGAGCAGTAAGATGGGTTCGTATTCCATTCGGCTGGATTGAATGGAGTGTGCATATTGTAGTGGGCCCTGTTTCCTTTCCACTGCTCTTCCTGTGTCAGGGAGCAGAGGGAAAGAATACAGATAGTATATTTGGGGTCCCAGCCTCCCCTCTTAGTTTTTATTTCTAGAAATGTGCCCACACAGAGTGCACTTAACTTCTCCTGGCTGCTGCCTGTCTTTACTAAGAAAGGATTTGTGATGGGAGAGTTCTTGGAAACCCTCCATTTAACTACCCAGTGGTTGTGGTCTGCTTAAGACAGGGAGAAACATGAGAAATAATCTTTGATCAATGTCTAGCTTCGCTGTGGCTGTCAGAGGCGTCCCTGGAGTCCGTGGTATGGGACTGTGGCTTTTATTACTTTCATTATAGACTGCTCCTTGCTCAGCCTTTGACTAGGTGTGCTGGAGAGCAGGGGCTCTTATATAAACATGCACTTACTCTGCCAAGTTTCCCAGCAATCCAGGTGCTTAAACATTGACTTTGAAGATAATGTCCTTCATAATCTGTATTTTGGTAAACAGAAGGAGCCAGTATTGCTAGCAGGAAAGCATCATTAACAATGTAGTTGATACAGGGGGGTTGTTTACTGTTCCGTGTGGAAAGATAACTTTTAACTCGGGTTCCTTGTATCATTGATTAGAGATATCAGTACCTTCTGGTTTGAAAATAGGGGGCATGTGACATTTTAATAAACTTAAGAAGTTATCAATCATTGACAATGATTAATTAGTTGATTAAATATGATAGAATATTTCCAACTTGCACATCATCTGAGTTATCAGGAGAAGCAGAAGCTCTTGTGTGTTACCTTGTGGCACTTCTCCATCTCTCTGA